TGTGGGCATTTCCGAGCCAGGACTTGCCAGGCAAGAAAAGTTGAGGAGGGACCCCAGACGGTACTATCTAGCGCGTTTCTTTATTCAAACGCTTTCGTGGCGAGACTAAGAAGTCCAAGTCAAGAATCGAGGGGTGGATTGCACGCTCTGAACAATGAAGGGTGAATACAGTTCGAGGAGGAGCGTGAGAGTCAAACCATTATAAAAATGCGCGGAGTAGTTGGGAGTGGCATTTTTGAAAAGCGGAGGTGGGCTTACAGCACAAGAAAAAAGGGCAAGCTTTTGTGGGAATGAGTGAGGTGATTTTTCCTCGTGGTCGCTACCAAACAAAAAGCATTCCAGCTTATGTCCAGTTCGGATGTTTCCAGGCATTCATTCTCCACAATGCCCTTCCCAACAGGGACCACCACGTCCGAGGCTAGAATATAATGAACGCATTGCAAATCAGGAATACAATAAATTTAAATTTAATTTTTTGAATTCATTATAAAAATAATTTTCTTTTTCAGATCAGTATTTTTTTTTTTGAATGATGGATATAATGAAATTTTAAATGAAGAATGCGGAAGCGTAGGGGGGACGCCGGGAAAGAGAGGGAGAGACGTTGAGATGACAGTCTGGATGGTGTGTATTTTATTGGGAAGAGGGATTGTATCCAACTGGCAGTCACCCAATGGGGGGTTCAGAAGGGTATCCGAGGAAGCACGTGATATCACGCGCCCCCCTCGTCTGTCCCCCCACCCCAGGCACGTGATTTCGTTCCAGCTCATTAGTATTCTTTTCCCACCTGGACGGCTGGGCACACCGAATATCACTTTTCAGTTCAGTTTGAGCCCACGTACGTACTTGGATTATTTGGATCCATAATCTAATCTCATATTAATGAGAGACAAAAACCGGGGCAGAAATCTAACGAGTATTTATGTCAATAGATCTCGGTCCTTGACTCATTGTCATCCCCCTTTGGCTTTATGAGTTGCTTTATTCTGTGAACACTTTCTTTGAGGAAAAATTCTGTGAAGTCCCAAGTGTTAATTGCAAGTGCCAATGAATTTAAGCGCACACATATGAGAACATATCGTAAGAACTTGGGCTGATCCACCTTATCATAAAATCCTCGCCAGTTACAACGGAACAAGCAAAAGTATCACAGTATGTATATGGGAATGAAAGTGATTGTCGTGCATAATAATGATAAATTACTTGTCGCAGACTATACAAGAGGCTTCATGCCGTGGTATTAGAATTTTTGGCGGGGAGAACGGGACGGCTGTTCCTGGTTGCCATAGCATAGAATCCGACTCTAAATTACTTGATGGGTCATGGACAGATGCGTTGCACCTGTCAAATTAATTATAACCTTATGACAGATTTATGCATTTGATGACATATTTTGCCATATATCCAAAACCTAAGATCAAGAGAATATTTTGTTAATCACCATCTGAAGGGAAGTCGGATTCACGAGGCGATGGGGTATTAAAATAATGAATTGATTAATGGATTGGAGGGCGTAGCATTAAAAAAAGCGGGCGGGGCGTCCGCGTACAATGGCCAAACATCCCGGTAGTAGTAAACAAGAGAAGACAAGTACAGCGCCTCTCATGGTGCATTCACCTCTGGACTTACACTGCCTTGTTTCCAAGTCCCAGACACAGAGAACAATATAATATGTGGCAGTTCTGCCTGGCCCCACGAATTTAGCCTTACAAAATAGCAGTAAATTATTTCTTCAAACTTTTCACAACTCAGACCCAACTTACGAGCAACCTTCTAATTATGATTTAGATACGAGGCAAGTATACAAATAATACGAGTTAAATACGTGAGAAGAATATTGTCTTGAATAGAACATGCTTACAAGTGATTTAGACAAACAGGCCTTGATTAATTCAGAATCAAATGAAACTACTCCAACTGGTATTAGGAATCTTGGGGCTTTGACTGAAACACACGATTCATATATAATTGGATTGTGTCTGGAACTCACGGAGCGCGTTGGCTGCTGAGTTCCATTATATCCTCTAATCTGTAGCTATGAATGTTAGGTGGGAATGATGAATAGTAGTGCTGCTTATTTTTCATTTGGGCTTCAACGGAGACCCAGGGAAAATAGTCTGCGCCTGCCCATGTTTTGGAGCTCCTTAATTTGTGGGTCGCCGCTGTATGTATACGGATGAGGATTGATGGGAACCTTCTAAGAAGCATAGGGGACGTTGGAGTCAATGATGCACCCATCCTCGCGTGCGATTTATAAGTCAATTAACTTGCCTGTTTGCCACAGCTACGATACAACTAGCCAGAATCGATCGAACCCAAAGAGCCAGGCTGGACGTAGCCGTAATTTACCAAGTTGTTCATGCGCAGTTGAGATCATTCTACTTGCTACTAGTACCCCATGTCCCCTATTTTTAATTCTCATATTACAACGAAGTCAGCGATGAAAAGTGATGCCGTTGAATTACGGGTCCCTAAATTTGTAATTAATTTGATTCGTGTAATCTTCAAAAGTTGGTGGCAAAAGAGCGTCGAATTTTATACTGCTCCGCATTTGTGACGGGGTGAAGTCGTATGCGGGAGGAGATGACACATGGCAAATAATTATTTCAGAGGTATAAATGAATAAGCAGGGAAAGCGTGGGTTTGGAGAATCCAGCGGGGAGTAGGAGCATGAAGGAGGGGAGCACGCAGCGTGTCTAGAGTCAAGCAGATAGAAGAAACAAGGGTGTATCTTAGAGAGGGTGAGTCCACAATTGGGATTATTAAGAACAAAGGGCGTGTGTAATTGCGCTGCTTCAAATATGTGGGCGAGGCATGGTCATGGCGGCGCCTCTGTCCCATACACAGCTACGCTCATTTAAATACTACCATTGCGTACGTACATCAAATTTTAAATGCAGAATGGAGGTGGAAACAGCATGGTGGGGCCGGACATCTTTGAAGGGCCGACCCTGCATAGCATGCATGACCCATATCTGGCTCCCCCCTACCTACATTACCATCCGCTTTTGCAAAATAAACAAACAGCTGCACTAATTATTACCAAGGAATATGGGTGCGCATACCATGTATGAGTCTATTCCCCGCCTTCTTCTCTGGATATGTACGCATTAAGTGTATGTATGGTATGTCTGATAATAAACTTACCACCTCCCGCCCCATATGACCTGGCCAGCTCACAGTAAACGCGCCCATCTTCTGACTACTCCACTGTGCCCAGTCTTCCTGCCCACTCACTTCTGGGTTTAGTCAAAATCCGTGTGTGTTTTCTTTTAATTTTTTTAAATAATTATTTATGATTTTTTCCCTTCATATATGTTGTGATTTAAATTTCTGGTCTTGTGTGGGTTCGTCTCACCCTAGTGTTAAACATGTTAATTTCATTTGTGTAGGAAAGAGCCCCAAAGGGTTTATCTTATTGGTTGTAGCATGCTGGACCGCTCAAGCACTAGTCAAATGTCTGCATCTCTACTAACCGTGTTGTCAGAGAAGCGGCCCTAGCCTATGGACGGATTCTCTTAACAACCACGAGAACGCTCCCCCAAATGCACAAGGTGTTCCATACTCGAGTCAGCTGGTTCCGGCATCATGAGGAACTAAGACGAAAAGCTAAGTTTGAGGAGACCTTGAAATGATCAGTTATCAAATATTTTGGTTTCATCAGAACCAACAGTTTCCAATCTAACGGAGCTCATATCGATTACTACTGCCGTAACACATGAAATTGTCAACAAGGCTATTGGTTCATAACAGATCAGGACGAAGCTCCCGTCATGGTCTATCTAATAATAATGCAGCCTTATTAGTATTGGGGTTGCTTTTGATCTCAACTTGGTTACTGGTCACTGCTACTGCTCTTGTTTGGGATTGGATGCTGCGTATACTTCAGTAGTTGAGGATCACTGTTATGCTTGCCGCTATGATGACGATATAAGAGAGACTGGGAGCGTGAGTTCAGACAGTTCTGATCGACAATATAAAACGGGATTAGTCTAAAATAGATTTCCTGTCCGATAAGATATTTCTCTGAGAAATATAATTGATCATGCCATCTCTGCTTCTTTTAAGCTTGATTAGACACCAAGATCGTGTCACTTGGTGCGCTGAAAAACAAGTGATGTGGAGAACAGACTAGAAATCAACAACTGAAGGCATAGCACACTACGAGACCTTATTTGGATCACCATTACCGTGGGATATGTTACCCTCGCTGGACGAACGATGCCCAGTGGACGTGGACTGGACTATGTGACGTTGGGCCAGACCCTGACCATTGCTTCCCTCTACAAACCGAGAAAACTTAAATTATTGCCGCCACAATCATATATATCCAGTGACATGTAATTTATTTGGATATTTATTTTTCTATTTCCTTCTATCATACCAACTCTTGGTCAGTGTACTTGCGCCTCCTTTGCTTCGTTGTGAATGTTCACTGATATATTATGGAATCAGTAGTTCACGGTGGCCTTATTTTCGGTCTGGCATTATAATTTTGCTAATGGTTCAACTTTGTTTAAACATGAGGCCTGAAAGGCGAAGTCGTCGATAAGAAATCTTGGCAGAAGCATTGAAGCTTCATTGTTCGTACAAAATCACTAGTTAGTAAAGTATAATGTTTGAAGAAAATCAGGTTATGATGATGAATTAAGCATATATCAGTGTATGTTGTTATTAATGAAAAAGAGGAAATTGAGTTAATTAGCAACAATAGCGCATGCTCATTAAGATCAGGTCACGTCTTTACATAATATGTGAAAAAGGAGTTAACTAGTAAAAAAACATACATTACTTGCGAGAATAGGAATAGAGAACGAAGATTGTCTGAAATCTGAAGTCAAGTTAGTCCATTTTTTGAGTCCCATAGCCGTAGAAAATATGCGTAATGATCTGCTGAGCCATTTATTGACTCTGCTATTTATTGCGCTAAGGCCTAAGGCTACATCTTTGGACCGAAAACATTAAGATATAATAATGTGCATATGGGTGATCTGATCTTATCAGTTCTTCCCCCGGCCATTGGCACTTTCTGAAGTTATAACTACTCCAGCTTTGTCTCCAAGGAGCTTCACTGCTGGGTCCGAGAATCTGTGGGGCCAACAACATTAAACTTGTCTTAGATAAATACAAGATTATACCACTTTTGGTCTTAATATAAGAGCTCGTTAGATTTTATTTTAATTCTAAATATAAGACCCCAATCTATTTTATTTCTTATATTTATTTATTTTTTTCTAAGGTAATCCGTATAACAATGATAGTTTTAGCCAATACACTTGATTAATAAGGATAATTTAAAAAATAATACTTATTTATTACAAATAACTAACTTAACTAATTTTTTTAATCTACTCAAATTAATTAATTAACTCTTATATTATATTAAGTGCCCGAGATAGTATTTCATTTCTTGACTCTGCTTGATTGCCTCATTCGCCTCCATCCAAATCATAAAAGAAATAAAGTTTGTAGCATAACAGAAAGTTTAGCCCGAAGAATTAGACTGGTAATTGCTGAAAGGCCAACTTTTGTCTAAAATTTGACAGATCGAAGTGTGGCAGTATGTATATCTGTCTAGTATGCTTTTTTTTTGGGGGGGGGGGGGGAATGAATATAGCAGCACTTTTGACTGCATCTATAAAGAACTAACCACTCCATTTTCTAAACTGAAACCACATGCAGGCTCTTTTACTTTATGCTTTATGATGACCCTTTCCTCCCATCATGATTTTTTCACACTGATCCATTATGCATTATAAGTTTCATGGTTCATGGCTGGGCTACTTGCCCATGTGACCCCCACAGCCACATGTCACAGCCAAACCCCATATCAGTGAAATGCATCACAATATCTGTTCTTGCGTTTGTTTTGTGGGGAGAGTACATGCACATAAAGAAAGCGAATTTAACTGATCAAAAGGTAAAATAAATTATTAAGAGAACAGAAAGCTACGTACCAGTAGGGGAAAGGAAGTGTAGAGGAGGACAATAGCCTTGCATGGGTGTAGGGTAGTATGGATAGGAGGCACCAGCTGGGAAGCGATCTGCCCGGGGGGGAGTGAAAAATGTAGCCGTTGGTGTTTGAACAGAATACCCATAGTAATGTGAATGTGATTGTCCATAGACTTGTTGATAGTATCGTGGCTGTTGAACTTGTGGGTTGGACAACATGACCTGTGCACAATATATGCCATATATCTTCTTAGTATATTTGTCGTTTGTTATCGATGATAATTTATATCTTAGAAAACTTAAGTTGCTGATAAGATAAACAGGAGATAACAAAGATCCCACTTGGTGATACCCGTAATCAGTAGTGTAGGTTGGATAGCTGCACAAGGTGAAGCAACATTGACCGAGAAAATGTGAAAGGAAATATTCATGCTTAGAGAAGCAAATAACTCAATTGACTTGTGTAATGAAGAATATACTCCTCCGGTCCTAATTATAAGACCCATTGACTTATTTGAGGAGATTAAGGAAGTAAGTTAAGTTAGTTATTTATAATAAATAAGTGTTGTTATTCCTAAAATATCCTTGCTAATTAAGTATATTGGCTAAAACTATCATTATTAGAAGGATTATCTTGGAAAAAAATGCATAAATATAAGAGACAAAATGGATTGGGTCTTATAATTAGGACCAAATAAAAAGTCAAATTGGGTCTTATAATAAGGACCGGAGGAGTATATATATATATATATATATAATGTTGGATCTGTACAACAGTGAGGATAAGTAGCCATTAAATATTGATGTAAAGCTGCAGGTTGTGGTGGGTTCCCAAATTGAGTGGATGGCTAATATGATGCAGCGTGCTTGTCCCTATGCTTCAATAATTGTGACCCAGCGTGCTACTTTGTAGAGGACTTCCTTTTGTAGTACACATCATATGAAGTGAAACGAAGTTTAAAAAGGAACGTCAAAGGAGGCGCGTCTGGTAATATTTACATTTATTCACAGTAATTATTTGGCAAAAACTTTGTTTTACATCTTTAGGTAAATTACTTGATGAAGAGAGAATGAATTGACCCCCCCCCAAAAAAAAAGAACATTAGAGTTGAAACTCGAGTGTTAATATAATTCTCTTTATAGCTCCTGTTTAGCTCTTCAATTACCAAACATTCTCATCAGACAGTGCCATAGCTGGGAGGAAAATGACTTTGTTGGTACGGATAATAAAAAGTACAGATAGCCGAGAGATATGATCCTGAGATTATATGTCAATTGACACAGGACCACTGCGATCTACACGTGCATGCATTACAATGTGAGGTAACCGCGTCCTCAGCCTTCTTTAAGTTACAATTATTATGGAATTACTAATTATATATCAATACTTCTCTCTAAGAATATATGAAAATTATATATACTGACGCAATATTCTTTTATACTACTTCTGATCCTATTAAGGAGCTAATTACACGTGTGAAAGGTTTAATTAAATAGTAGTTCTAACTAATACATATGATTAGTAAGGATATTTTAGAAAAGACAACGTCTATTTAACGAATTAGTCACTAACTCTTATATTAAATACAGGAGGTGGTAGTATGATATGAAGGTGAAACTGGGTTTAAAAAATAATTATGATATTAGTATATAGTGAATTTGAAGGTGACATCCATGTGGTAGTGTGGAGTACGGACCAGTCGTTTGCCTGCGACTACTCTGCCACTTAATGAATCAAATTAATTCACTCACCTATACGCTGCTGAGTACATCAGAGAAGGTGGCGCTGCCGCTGCCGGAACTCCATTGTAGGCCGGCTTTTCTCGTACTGTGCCTTCCTTACCACCATCTTGCACCGATAAGTTCGTTCCTGCATTATCAGTATCCAACCTTGTTATGCAACTTCAACGTCAATGAAAGAATCCACAACTATAACTGAAACATGATGATAGTAAAGTATAAAATGAAGAGACCTCGAGGAGATGAAGGTGGGGGCGGAGGCCGTCCTAGAGAAGCAATATTGCAATTTGCTCTTCTACCATGTATTGTCGGTTTGGGATCCGCACAAGCTTTTCTTGCTGAGTCTGGATCACGGAAAGTGACCTGCTCGTTGGACGACATAATATAAATTAAATAAACAGTAATTAAAATATAAGACTTCAACCAATCAGATGATGAGCAGAGAATTGGTCTTCAAGACATAGAAAATAAAGGAGATGAGTAAAAGGCATATACGAATCCATAGCCTTTAGACTTCCCAGTATGCTTATCGTTGATGATAACGGCTTCAAGAATATCACCGAACTGCTCGAAGTATCTATGCAATTCTTCAGTGGGCGTCTCCCAAGCTAGTCCTCCCACGAACACCTTGGTTAATGTGGTGTCGCCGAACTGGGATCGGTAGTGTGGGTGATTGGCCATCGCATCATTCATTCGAGCTCTACCAGTACACGCAGTAATGGCTTTCTTTCTCTTCAATTGCTGGCCCTGTCGATGTTGTGTTGTCATCTCATGCTGTTTGGAACAGAACGTATAAAAAGGAAGTGAAGAAAAGAAAAGGCATGGAGCATGTGTGAGGTAGGGGTAAGCTTTGGTGTTTGTAGCATGGAGTGACAGCTGCCTGGTATTGTCTCAATCCAAAGTGATTAATACATACTACCTCTTGATATAAGAGCTTCATTTAACTTTTATTTTGATTTTAATATAAATTCATATTTATTATTTTTCATATTTATTTATTTTTTCTAAGATAGTCCTTGAAATAATAGTTATTCTAGTCAATACACTTGATTAATAAAAATATTTTAAAAAAAGACAGCATCTATTTATTACATATGCTGAGCCCAACAGTTCATCCACCCCACAAGTAGCCCTTATCTATGCTGGTTGCCAGCTACAAGGACCCCTCCCCCTTCCCTCTCTCTTCCTCTGCTTTCTTTACTGTTACTATGAAGTCCTCTGCACGTGGGGCATCCCCTCCTCCCTTCGAACAAACATGATTGAGATTTGTTGACTGGTTCACATTCCTTCGTATTCTTCTTCCCCAGCTTCTACTTTAAATAACCGGGAAAACGTAAGAAGGCCCCCCCACCTCGACCGATACGAAAACCGTCCACGAAGTATGGAAAGAAGCCGCCAACACCGCCCATTTATGGCGTGGTGTTCAGAGAGCACGAATTCTTGAGAAGCCCAAATCTGTGTTATTCGGCTGCTATGGAATTAGAGAAAATAGCACGAGATGGGCCCCAAATCGTGTGAACGTTTGTAGGTTGGACGTCAATGGGCCTACTAATGTTGGGATTCAAGTCTTGCCCAAGGGAACCTAGTTCTAACTTTTTTTTTTGGTAAAGAGGAGGGCTTAGCCCATTACAAAGAAAAACTACACACGAGGGGATAGAAGTCCCGTATAATCTTGGTGCACAAGGGCCCTCAGCGAGTCTGGGACCGTATCAATAAAAACAAAACTATGTACCCTACTGAGGCCATCCTTCGCAAGCCTATCGGCAACTTTGTTGGTATCTCTTGGTGTATATTGAAACTGTATACTCCAGTTCCTTTTCCTCATCTCGACAATCAAAGTCCAAACCGAAGAGAAGTTCCCTCTTATATTGGTAAAGAGAACCTAGTTCTAACTTATATTAGGGGTTCTCTACACACAATAGACGAGTGCTTTTTTAACTCATCCAAGTGGTCTCCATGTCCCATGGCTATCTATCCTAGGTTCACATATAATCATTATTTTCTTTTCTCTAACTTCATTTGTCGACTTGTTTGCGTCTGCAGTGAAAAATTGACTTGCGCTAGTTTAAACCTGAAATTTCATGTTAAAAAAAGCTTCCTTGTATTTATATATACAGTTTATGTAGTAACTTGTACCATGAACTATAGCGATAAATAGCGAGGATAACTTATGTAGTGCATATTAACAATAGTTAGAAAGAAAAAAAAAAAAAAATTCACGCAGTATGTCACACTTGTAGTATAATTGAACCAAATCAGCTTTTAAATGCGGGTAGTGATGAGCTGTCCCACCCACTGGATCCAACAAAAGTAGAGGACAGTCGTGGAGTTGGTGGTGGGGGGAAGCATGAACCCACCGACACATTCATTCACTCTTTTATTTTAAATGCTTTTGCCCGTCAAAAATGCCATTCAACATTACTGTACTGATATTCCATATCAATCACATTTTGGGCTTTTCATTCCCGACCTTCTCTCATCTATACAGATGACATCGGAGGAGTTTAATCCTCTTCTCGATAACCAAAAAATAGATAATCTTTTAAGGTCCCCGACCACTCGGGGTGGTGGCGCAGTTGGCTAGCGCGTAGGTCTCATAGCTTCTGAGTTATCCTGAGGTCGAGAGTTCGAGCCTCTCTCACCCCATGAGTGAGATTTTTGCATCCCGCTTGTCTGCGTAATGTCCAGACAGTTTTATGTGCTCTAATCCTTCGAAGTTTTATAACCTTATCATCTTGTACCATGAGTGAAATTTTTTCATCCCGGGTGTCTGCGTAATTTCCACACAGTTTTATGTGCTCTAATCTTTCGAAGTTTTATTACTGTATCATCTTGTACAATTTACAGGACTGTTTAAGCATTTGATAAGGTACAAGAAACTTTAGATAACCTGGATACATACACTGTGGCAGATGGGACTTGAATGGTTGTACCTATAAATCATGTCCAAATTCGAAGAATCTCGCCAACTTCTTAAATTTGAGCGTGCTTTGATCCTTCCCGTGATCAGAGAAGATTTGACCGCCCTGCAGAATGTCTTTTTGGAAGTTCACCCTATTAAATAAATATTTTCTTATTCTTTTATCCTACTTTCACATGACATGTCTTTCCATTGAGGATTCGAAATTTCTTGTTGGAATCTGAAGGATGATGCAGAGGGATGACCCAAAATTAGGTCTGATGGATGAGAAAAAATATGCATTTCAATCTCCCCCGTCACATGAGAGAAATGGCTGCTGAATTCTTGTCCAACTGCAACTGTCTTTACATTTACGCTTTATCTCAAAGATTCTGTTAGTCCTATAGATGCTGGAAAAACGGGAAGAGAGCCTCTCTCGTTTCTGAGTTGAAATTGATGAACGGTTATAAGTTGCTGGTTTATGAGAATATGCCACTTCCTATGCCTTTTGGCGAAGCTGCATTTATTTTGCCCCACTCATCCACCATGATACCCTTTTAAATGTTACAGCTCACCCACTCCACTCTTTTATTCATACCCTGTGTTTGGATATCAGCATGCTTTAATATAGCCCTCAGTTTTTTGTGACCATGACACATATCAGTATGCTTTAATCCAGTGATGGCGACCACAGCAATGTTCAAATTATTATTCAACTTCCGCCCCTCCCTCCCTCCCTCTATGATCCTTCTCTGTCAGTCTTATTCTTTCCAAATCCACTCCTCAAATTTCTATTTACTAAAATGGTTTTAGTGGTATTTCTTATGCCATGTTACATGAGATGAAAGCTCAAATACCTTGTCACCGAAGCCATTAAATCAAATGAGAGAAGCTGAGGAGAGAGACGTGTGATCAAGGTTGTCACATGTAGTGCTGGGTCCTGATGTTCCTTGGTACCCAACTTAAGGTGACAAACTTTGGTTGCAACTCGTGCAATGATTAATCTGTGAAAGAAGACACAAGCCACTCTTGTCTGGTTCCATTTATAAAGCACTCGGTACTGTTGATAAACGATAGTTCAAGGCACGCTTGCGAGGATAAGATGTGGAGTGGACTACGGTAGAGTGTAGAATTAGCTCAATGACACTTGACAAGGTTGGCCTAATGTGGTGTCCGTTTGGGTCAATAGTAATAAATGAAATATACCCTGGTAAATTACGTCTAGTGATTCTGATCTTGTTTGAACAATTCGACCTGTAGAGATTCAAAAAAGGAGTAAAAATAAGAGATAAACGGGTAGTTAGCCATTAATAAAAGCGTAGCTTTCAGCTGTTTATAAAACTGTATGAGAGGTTTGAATCTCAGTGACCAAAGTTGCTTGATGGGACCAAATATTGACGTCTTTCAAAAGGCTGGATTTTGCTATTTGTGCCGTGACCACAATAAAGTCGTATTTAATTGTTGCTTTAGCTATCCAGCTCCCAAGCTAAGAGCTGGTCACCCTTGAGGAAATTTACCTCATCAGCAAGCCCTCACCCACGCCTTCTCAATAAGGAGCCTCTCCAAATGGAAAGGATCTAATTTACTTTATCATGGTGTTGGAAAAATATTAATATCTCAACTAACAAATAATGCCATTTAAGAAACATTAATATCTGATGATGATATGATATCGGGATAAGCATCCAAAGCATTTCCCTACAAATTGAATGTTAAATAATACTCCTCTGGTCGTAAATATAAGACTCTTGTACACACTAGTATGAGAGTCTTATATTTAGGATCAGGAAAGTAGTATTTATCTCTGATCATCACACCAGCTAGCAGAAACAAAACCGTACAGCCAATAAATGAAGTCCATACCTTATTCTTCTCATAATTTTATGAAATTGATTGATTCTCTTTTTTCTGTGATGCGCTTCAATTCGTGCTAATATTTCCTAGCGCTCTGTTTGGTATCTTTCCCTATCTCCCTTTCCCATCCAAAACTAATCCTTTGCTTAGTGGCAGTCCTATTCAGTTTTCACAACATACACTGTCACATTTTCGGAGCTACAGAGTTTGACCCACAGGACTTCCATCGGTCCCACTTCCAGCTCATCATGATTTAAACATCATATAATTTAGTGGGCTAATCATGGATTACCACAATGTCTTTTCTTCATGTCTCTCGTAATTGGGTGGTTTTTCCCCCCCTGTTCTTTCTATTTAAAAGAATATGAGCAGTAAATTACTGTGAGTATAACTACTCGGCTGCAAATAATAGGTCTGCCACTAGCAGGCCAGGCGTTAGTCAAAAGCAGAGGGAAAAAACCAAGATGGGAGGACGCCGACCTCACGTGAATTGTTTGACATTATTTCTTGTTATCTATGGAGGATCACATATTGAGGTCCATTTTCTTTTAAAGGCGACTTTAATTTGTTATAAGCTAGTGTCTATTGATTTCAGTGGAGGAGTGGATTTGGCACAAACACCGGCGTCCAATGAGGGTTCCGGATCCACCTAGACTTTTGCCAATTTGTTGACTTCTGTAACGTCAATGATGAAGCAAGTGCCCAGTACTTCCCATTGATTATAATATAAATATGACAGCAATTGTGAATCGCAGATCTCAAAAAGGAGGTTTGAAAATGATTAATCTAAAGCAAGATGAGTAGTTTTCCAAACAGCTGATTAATTATTCACTCGGATGTGTAATATTGATGTTACTTCACAATATCCCCTCATTAAGGTTCCGAGATTGGGAGTGGCAAGCATGATGGAAGAAAGTTCAATTATACTGCAAAAAATTTCCGATTTGGATGGTGCAGGCGCGTGATTGGAGATAGAACTTAAAAGAATGGCCAAAGAAAGTGATGGGATAACTTCCGGTTTTTCAGGCGGACATGGATTTTTATTAGTTGGTTTCAGCACCGGACAACCACGTAGACCCAGGAGTTTACATAATTATACGCACGCAAGATACACCAATGGTTTGGAAATGCGGCGGAAGAAGAAGAATTTTCCTTCTAATTTATCTTCGTTTTTCAATGGATCCCTGTGGTTCAAAAGTTTCGGAATCCAACGTGTTTTACATATTGAGCGAAGCGTCTAACCAAACCGATGCCGTTTTGGCATGGCAGAGGAGCTGGCGAAAAGTGGGGTGGGTCAGGAGAGAAGCCGAACGCCGCGAGATTGAAAAGAACTCTTCTTTTAAAAAACTAGATTTCTCAGGAATTTTATCAATGTGAGTAATATGTTTTTGGGGGGGGGGGGGGGGGGGGGGGAGAAGAGGGGGGGGGAAAGATGTTTAAAATAGTAAATCTAATATTTTGTTATGAAGCCCCACCATGCGTTGGCCGCAAAAAAATAAAAAGGTTAAAGCACAGTGGCAGATTTGCGAGGGGAGCTCGGGACATGGCGGATTCATGCAAAAAGGTTACAATTTAAAAAAGAAAAGTTCTGGGTGCAGGGTGGGGAAATCTGTAATCCTTACAAATGAACGAGGAAAATAAGGGAGAGGCGGCGGGCCCCACTAATCAGTAAGGTTGTTCATTATAGTGTAAAGTGGGGTCTTTTTTATCAAATATAATCACATGCGTGCGTCAAAACTTGATGAATCTTTTTGTGGCCTGACAATTTTTAATGATGAATTATTTAGGTGAATTGTCATTTGAAAACGCAGAACACGCTATAAACGTAAGGCGAGCTTTGACCCAGGAAAAAAAAAATTGTAAGACGGCATTCGGGACTGATTTATTTTAATATAAGAATTCAATTACTAATTTATAAATATTAAAAAAATAATTAAATTAATTATTTATAATAAAGAGTATTGTCTTTGTTAAAACATTCTTACTAATAATATATATTGAAGAAAAAGTAATCATTATGAGAGATTATTTAAAATAAATAAATGAATATATGAGATTAAATGGATTGAAGTTTTATATTTATGACTAAATTAAATATTCAACTAATTTTTATACTTAAAATATCATCGTTCTAGCTGTGCATGACATAATTAAAACTTACAACATTGAAAAAAAAAAAAAAATCCTTGTGATCGGGTAATAGGATGAGCAGCTTTTATTACAGCAATCGGCCAGACGGGAAAGAAATCAGTTTGCATTGACACGAAGGGCTTGGCAGGGAAATTTTCTTGAGTGATTGGCTCCATTTTCCTCTGGCCACGCATTTTGTGGAGCTCAATACTTTAAAGGGATAAAATTTTTCTGATTAAAATTAATGAGAAGGCAGAAGATAAGATATAGAGTGTCAAAAGAATGCAACGTATGGATGAGGACGACAATTTACGAATAATTTTAATGTAGAATAATGGAATATATAATTTGCCTTGAAATTCATGCAGTCCGTAGGAGAAGAATGCACTGCACTGACACCAGAGAGACACAGAGATTCTGAACTATGAACTCTGCAAACATATCCAGTTCCTGTTGCGCAGAACACCCAGCAATGAATAAGATATTTTAGATTGATTTTTATAATAAATATTAAACGCCGCTCTATTTTTTCCATGTATTTATCAATTCATTAGATTTTATATTAACAACCAATAATTAATTATTTCACTAATTTTTGGGCTGATAATATTATTGGTCCTTATGATTTTATTCAAATTTTGATTTCCGTTCTATAGTTTTAAATTGTGATTTTTAGTTTTTATAATTAAAGACGAAAATTAAAACTGTTAAAAATGACCCCATAGCCTGCATTTTTAATTAATTTTACTTTTTGTTTGTTATAATTAATGGTATTAACTCAGATGAAACTCTTATGAAATTATAGGATTGAAAATTAAGAATTGACTAAAACTAAAATTAGATAAACCTGAAAGCACAAACAATAATGTCTATCTTCACTCGGGAGCTGAAGACTTTGCGTATTGAAGGGGTAACCAAGAATGGCGTCAAGTGGCTCAAAACTGTTGGAAGAGCATCAGGCATAAGGGAGCCCGTGACCCTTTCGCACGCTCCCCAAGTCCATCAGCACTCGACAATCAGTGCAGTCACCCGAACGCAGACCTTCAGAACTCAGAAACAAACAAACAAGCGGAAACACAAGTCCACCGATGGATTTCGTCCCCTTCCACCCCACTCCCCCGCTTCTCATCCCCTCTCTTTGCATTTTTAATATTACATCCTAAGTTAAATGTAAGACTTACTTTATAAATAGAAATTTTATTATAAAATATATCTTGTATTTAAGAATATACCTAGATTCTACTAGACGCGGTATTCTGTATCCTTATAAATTATTTATCGATTGAAATTGAAAAAATATATTTTCATTTCCTGCACTCGAAAATAGACTCGCCTCTCTCACATCACATGGGACGCTTCTCCGTACGCATCCCGTAATTTTTTTATAACGCATTTTGCTGCTATTTTCATTTCCTATTCTGAAAAAAAATACTCTTTCCATTTTTAATATATAAGTCATATAATTAATTTATAAAAAGTAAAAAAATTAGTTAACTTAATGATCTTTTTTAAAAAAATGTGCGTTGATTTTTTTAATCATTATGTGTACTTGAACTCGACGATTTGCTCGATAAAAATGTTTTATAAATAATATAAATTTAAGAAACAAATAAATTTAGATCTTATGTTTCATATCAGAATAAACCCTCTAATCAACAACAGTATGTAAGATAAGATAGAGTGATTCAAAAAAATATGTGCTCTTATTTTAATTTTTTGTTTGTTATTTGAACTACTTGATAAAAATCCTCTTAATATATCCATTTAATGGAGGTTGTAGGAAAAAATTATAAATTTGAGAAATCAAATATGTTTTGATCTCGTAGTATATAAAATTAAAACAAACCTTATGATCAGCACTTATATTTAAAATCAGATAGAATGATTTGTATTTATATGTTATTAGTTGCCTACATCAAACATTTTTTAGTTAAGATCAGAATCTTATCCTTTCCCACCTTTCTTATCCCTTTTTGACCTATACTATAACGAACCTGCCATTATGTTGATTGAGCCGAGATTATGGTCTCAGAAAGTCGCAGCGTTACTGTGCTTGCATGACCCACCTACCACCACTAGAACGCAGTGGCGGAGCATATCATGGTGTCCTTCACCCCAATACAAAACAAATTTGGCAGCCACCAATTTCGACCCAGCACGCTGCTCATTTACCCACACCGTACAAATACTTCATTTTTACAATTCACATTTTAAAATTTCCAACATATTTTATATTGTGACGTCAAAATTTGAATATGAAAAAAAAAGATTTAGTTAGACTCTGTACCAAGTTCTAAACGGGGCGTGGGAACATAACATGTAAATGCAAGCCATGACGAGTACTCAATTTTTCTTTTTTTTGTTCTGCTTGGACCAGGATACATGTTATTATTTTATTTGGGAGGAGAATCTTAGACAATAAAAAGGAAAAATAGAAGATTAGCAGGTTGTGAGTTGTCTTTTTGCACTCAACATTTTACTTTACACTGTAGAACTTAGCCAGGCCTCAGCTCGCACTATGATTACACATTACTGGTTACAGTGATCGACAATTACGCTTTGAAAATCTGTCTGGCTCGTTTAATATAAATATAATGAACCTTAATGTCCTCCCAACCCAAAAGATAAATCGATTTCACCGACAACCATATCGTCCAAGTTACGCAAATAGTCCAAGCGCACTTGGAATTTTCTTTTATTTCGGCCACGTTCCCCCGTGTTGGTGAATTTTCCCCCGCTCGCACAAAAATGGGTTGCTTCCTAACGCACTAGGTTGTGAGTCTCTGCCAAAACGGCAAAAAGTTTGGCGCCATATTAACCGAGCCGAGCCGGGACCTCAGGCAAGCGTCGAGGTGCTCGTATTTATGGATGGTGGCCATTAAAATTAGCTGTGGCTCAGCGTCCGCCACTTCCGGCTCAAGTCAAATATCATGTCTATGAACAATATATTATATATGTGTGTATATATACAAGCCAGGGGAGTTGCATAGTTTTATTTTTTCAGATCTGCCATTTCTGCTTGTTTCTTTACCAAGAAAGATTCTCCACACTCCATGAGGTGCGATGAAGAAATGGGTCGGGTGGCATTTTGTGCGGAAATGTCAAACGGAAGGTGCACATGATTGATCATTATCAAGGTAACTAGTGACTTTTATGGGAATTTCTCTTCGTCTGCCCATTTCTTATGCTGAGCAGATAAATCAGGGAGTTCAAATAATGAACACTTCAACCTGGATCTACTGTGGGCCTGTTTGGATGTCTTTGAAAATTATTTATAAATATGTTTTATGTAAGTAGAAACAAAACTTTTCTCATATAAATTATGATTAAAAAATTAGGTATAAGCTACTCTAGCAGATCTTAATTATTTATGACTATTTTCACGGTATGGTTACCCGAGTCGAGTGACTACACTTAATTTATGAATTCTCATGTTATAATACTGTCTTGCGAGATCTTAATCATCAATTGTAAGAACGTAACCCCTATGCTCGATTACTATACATTATAAGATTGAAAAAAAAAAAAAAACTAATTTCAGGTTTTTACTTTTACGAACCGAGTTCTCTCTCTCTCTGTTTTTTTCCCATTATTATTATGATCATGCTACTCTCTATTTGGGCGCTCGGGGCAGCGACGTGATCGGATCAGTACAAATTCTCCGTGTGCTCATGCTTCTGTGAGTGCATCTCTCACTCTCTCACGAGCATTAAGCATAGCATTTGACGAAAGTGAGAGTAGCGAGAGGAACAGGCTGATCGAGAGAGGAGAGCTGGTCGCGAGAGAAGAGACTGAGCTTAGGAAGGCTGACGAGTTCTTTTAATTCTTATTGCGTCGCAGTAAACAACCAACCCATGAGTTCACGGTGATTTTTCGGTTTTAGTTGTTGTTTTTCTTCGCTCTTCTCTCCCAGCTCCGTCTTTTATAAAGGAGGTAGTCTTCGCTCTTGTAACTGCCCACTCGTTGTTTTGCTTTCCGCTCACTGGTTTTCATCTGGGTTGTGAGTTAGCCTTAGCATTGTGATCTAATCAAGTATCTTTTTGTGCCTTCTGGGTTTCGATCGGATTTTGGTATGAAACGCCCGGTGAACGTGATTTTTTCTCCGAAAATGCACTCCCGATTTATTATTACTTAGGCCACCTTCTTGCGATTTGATTGCTCTGTTACCCACTGATTACCTGCTTTTCTTCAACTTTTACTTATTCGACTCTTACTTCTCCTCCCTACTACCTTCTTTTTGGGCTTTACGTTTGCAATTCCCAGTCACCAGTGAAGTTTTAGCCCCTGTGCATATATACCCGTTTCAAAATTGGGTCTCTGATGAATCTGATGCGGTGACAATTAAGGGTCTACCTTTATGCTACTCGCTTGTTGTTGCTGTTCTGAGTGAATAGTCAGTTGGCTGACTATGAATTTGTTTATTTAAGTTGCTTCCAGCCACTTCTTCGCACTTAAAATATCTTAAGAATCGAACTTGTTCTTAATGAAGGTCATTTAGAATTTAGATTCATATGGTGCATTTTTTGGTGCAAAGATTCACATGGTGTATTTGTTTTAACAGATTTTCAAATGCAGAACTGAAGCCTGAGTTCTTCCGATGAAATTTCCTCCCCAGCTTCTTTGATGTCAGAAAAACACTTCAATATTGGATTCTTGGTGTTATAATAGATTACTCGTGGCTATCCTGTTACTTCGTGCACCCTTCCAGTTCCGAAAATGTCCAGGCCCCTCCATCGAGGTGCATCTCGGATCGCTGAGGACAATCATGATTCGTTGGACTCTCAATCCAAAAATAAAACAGAAAAAGATGATTTGGATAGAAGGGGTTCTTCAGATCACAGCCCTTTGGGTTTGAAATTTCCTCTGCGGTTGCTTTTTACTGAAAATTCTCACTCTAAATACGGTATCACTGAGAATGGTTTTACATCTGATCCCTTCCTTGTTGGCACTCCCCGAAATCGCCATAAATTGGCGGTGCTTTTATTGAAAATGAGTTTAGTTTTTATAGTCATACTCGCTCTTACTGGGTCTTTTTGGTCCATCTCAATTTCTACCTCATCAAGAGGTCACATTTACCATGGTTATAGAAGACTCCAAGAGAAACTAGTATCTGACCTGTTGGATGTTGGAGAGTTTTCCCGTGGTCCATCAAAGATGAAAGAATTAGAATTCTGTTCTCAGGAGTTTGAAAACTATGTTCCTTGCTATAATGTTTCTGAGAATCAAGCTTTGGGTTATTCTGACAACAATGAGTTTGACCGGCAATGTGGCCATGAGCTCAGACAAAGTTGTTTAGTTCTCCCGCCAGCAAATTACAAACTTCCACTTAGGTGGCCTACTGGAAGAGATGTTATATGGATTGCCAATGTTAAGATCACAGCACAGGAGGTTCTTTCTTCAGGGAGCTTAACCAAGAGGTAAGCAGGCAGCTGAATATGTCTCACCTACCTGCTGCCTTTTCAATATCTTTTCATTCTAACACATCCATTTTACCATATGACTACAGGATGATGATGCTGGATGAGGAGCAAATTTCCTTTCGTTCAGCCTCTCTTATGTTTGATGGTGTTGAAGACTACTCGCATCAAATTGCAGAAATGATTGGACTTAGAAATGAATCAAACTTCATACAAGCTGGGGTATGTAAATGCTTAATCTTTATTTAATATTTTTATATTTCACTTTGTTGATGATAATTTTATGGTCAGCATATTTATTTCTGCTTAGTTGTATTCGATGGAGAGAGGTGTATGCATTGGCTTTAAACTTGCTTGATCACGCACGTGCGCACACATAACATTCGCATCGTCCTTTCAGCAAACTATTGATGGACACATTGAATCGTTCCTAGGATGTGGCTTTTTTTCGAAGAGCTTGTTTAAACACCATGTCTATATTGAAAAGATGTCATAAAATTACATGAATGATGGCGCTATTGGATTTTTTTTTTTTTTTGGTAACATTTTTGGAATAGTTTGAATCCGTTGATCTATTGTACATGGGCGCTCAATATTGTTGTCCATACAACATCTACTCATTCATCAATTATATGCTTAATTTTTACCTTTGCCTTGCATCAAGATGGATTTCTAATATATTCTCTGGTAGAACAAAATGGTATTGAATCTGAAGAGAGTCCTTATTTGACTGTATTGTTCCTTGATTCTACTGTAATTTGATTGATCATCTTTTCATCCTAAAATTTACAGGTTAGAACCATACTGGACATAGGATGTGGATATGGTAGTTTTGGAGCCCATCTCTATCAAAGTCAACTCCTAACGATGTGCATTGCAAACTATGAGCCCTCAGGCAGCCAAATTCAGCTTACACTTGAGAGAGGTCTCCCCGCTATGATTGCTTCTTTCACTTCAAAACAGTTGCCATATCCATCACTTTCCTTCGACATGTTGCATTGTGCAAGATGTGGCATTGATTGGGACCAGAAAGGTAGTATCATCTTCTGCTCTATTCAGCAAAATCTTGTCTTTACTATTGTCCTTGCAAACGTGCTACACAAATAGACTCGTTATAGGAGAAATGAGATTCATGAACAAAGAAACAAATTTGTAATTATTGTATACACCCTTTCATATGTTGGACTTGTGGGGTTTGGCTTAAGCATTGTTTTCCCTGTTCAGTCCAAACCTTCAACAGTTGACCCTGTTATGGAATGATTTTACAATATTGAAAATTCTTCGATACCTTTCCCACTGTGATCATTATGGATCTTCGAACCATCTATATCACTTGCAATGATTTTTCTTTTCTTTTTTTTTTTTTAAAGAAAAAAAATCCACAAAGCTTATTTACAGTCAAACTATGCATTTGTTGTCTGTTTCTGACATGTAAATATAATTTTGGAAAGCATAAGAAAATTTGTCATGTCTTATTTGTGTTAATCTTCTCTATGTAGCCTTTGTATGTTAAGTAGCTTAGGCTTTTGCTTTAGTTGGCAAGCTGAATATTGCTCTTGTTATCATTAATCTTCATCTCTTTCACCCTTTCTCTGGGGGTCCTGGGTAGCCAAGCTTTCATTATGAAGAAATTGCTTGTAGTGACTGCATTAAGGCTTCCTGTTTATTTTGAAGATATCTTGTGGCCAACTGGAGCTGTACATTATGTCCGGCTACAGTTGCTAACATACTATAAGCAAACAAACTGGAGTTAATTGTTCATCTGACTTGAATACCCATCGTGTTATGATCTCTTTTAGTAATTCTGTAAACAGTAAACTTAGCACCCGACAAAATATTTCTGAGCTTTAGAACCGCCAATTGGATGTATCTTATTATTTTTTCTCATGTTTGACTTTTGTTGGTTAACCATACATTCATTATACATGGTATAGATGGCATTCTTTTGGTTGAAGCCGATAGACTTTTAAAACCAGGCGGCTACTTTGTCTGGACTTCGCCACTTACAAATGCTCGTAACAAAGAGAATCAGAAACGGTGGATATTTATCCATGATTTTACTGAAAATCTTTGCTGGGAAATGCTGTCGCAGCAGGATGAAACAGTTGTGTGGAAGAAAACTAGTAATCGAGATTGCTATAATTCAAGGTAGAGCTTCTGGGGGCATATGTTATGAAAATGTGCTTCCCCTCCCCCGGCAAGGGGGGAAAAAAAACCTGCAAATCAGATTTCTTTTGAATTGCGTCTAGACTACATAGAAACTTTTTTTTGCTGCATGGTAAATTAGAAGTACCTCTGACTTTTAGCATTACCTGTTTTTCATAATCAGAAAGCCTGGTTCTGGGCCCTCTCTGTGTATGAAAAGTCATGATGTGGAGTCCCCATATTATCGGGAACTGCAAAACTGCATAGGAGGAACCCACAGCCGCCGCTGGATTTCTATTGAAGAGAGGGGAACTTGGCCTTCTCGGGCTAACTTGAACAAGAAGGAACTCAGCATCCATGGTAATTGTTAGATTCTTAAAACAATTTTTTGTAAATCTCTTAATGAAAGTAATTGCACTGTCATGGCTTACCTAATGAAACTCTGTACCCAATAGGTTATCTTAATTTGTCCAAATTTACATTTGTCAGGGTTGCAATCTGAAGAATTTCTTGAGGACTCTGAAAGCTGGAGAACTGCAGTCCAGAATTATTGGTCTCTTCTGTCGCCTCTAATATTCTCTGATCATCCAAAGAGGCCTGGTGAAGAGGATCCTCCACCTCCTTACAACATGCTCAGAAATGTGCTTGACATGAATGCTCATTTTGGTGGTTTCAATTCTGCATTGTTACGAGCTAGAAAGTCTGTGTGGGTAATGAATGTTGTTCCAACCAGCGGACCAAACTACCTTCCATTGATCCTGGACAGGGGATTTGTCGGTGTTTTGCATGATTGGTATTTATCCTTTCTCTTGTTCTTATCTGGCCGTGTCACAATTCTTTGTTTCCGTCAGTTATATCCGCTTGGTCAAATATAAAATCCAAACCCATGTGCTATGTTCTTTTTCCTGGTCATGATTCCACCAAAGTGCATAAAATTATTGGTTTTTTCCAATTTAATTTTGTAAAACCTTAATATTGAAGCCTTGATCTTGGTTTCTTTATAGATTTAAGCTTCAGCGTAGATAAATTCAATTTGGATCTCTTGCTTGAAACCGATTGGGGTCCCTTTGTTATCTGCAGGGCCTCAAACTTTGTTGCTTTCTTCCAAGTTTGACCCTTTAATTTCATTGAGAAACTTGGATGATCCAAATTCACGTTGTAATGTCAATGTAGTTTTGTCAGACAAAAGTGAATTAAGAAAGAGTATTGAAAAAAAAGGCTATATTGCTCAGTAGAGTGCTGTACAGCGAAAACTAAAGGTTTTCCTAATGCATTCATTTTACAGTAAGAGCTATGAGTTACATTATAGAAAATCTTAAGGTTTGTTATTACTGTTATACTTGAGTCTTTATGAGCTAGTCATGACAATTTTTGTTACGTCTTTCAACATGTTGTCATACAATAACGATCTTTCATGGTATCTAGGTGTGAGGCCTTTCCAACGTACCCTAGAACCTTTGACTTGGTGCATGCAGCAGGTCTTCTTTCCCAAAGAACTGCTCAGCAGCATAGATGCACGATGCTTGACCTCTTCATTGAGATTGATAGATTACTTCGTCCGGAGGTATGTAAGCTAAATACTTCAACATTTCTTTGCGTACATGGCCCATCTCTTCGCTTGCATTTTTATTCGCTTTGTTTCATGGAATAACTGATTGTAACTGACGTTGGGGCGACAGTCTTTTTCTTACTTCTGCCTGACATGAGGCAATTTTTTGCCCTTTTTGAACTGGGCCCCCTTAAGTTAGAACTTGAGAGGAATCATCTGGATTCCATTTGGCTCAGGAACATGATTGAATTGCAGCATCATTTGATCATTAACCCCCCTTCACCGAGAGTTGTGCTAATCATCTAGTCAAATTATATTGTAGATTGTATTTCTTATTGAAACTGAACCCAGAGTGAAGCAGTTCATCAACAAGGTCTCAAAAATGTGTTATGTGCACTTGACAGCAGCCGACACTGCCATGTGGCTGCTGGGTCTGACCCAAATCGTCGAGTGTCAACATTGAGAGACAGAGAAATCTAAACGCATCAGTAAATTGGTTCTTCTATGTTAGTTTGGAGGATTTTTAATATGTAAGAATTTTATTGATGTTTGCAGGGTTGGATTATAATCCGCGACACAGTTCCGTCAATAGAAACAGCAAGAGCTCTAACAGCACGGCTGAAGTGGGATGCGCGAGTCATAGAGATTGAAAGTGACAGCGATCAGAGACTCCTGATCTGCCAGAAACCGTTCTTTAAGAGACAGGCAAACTAAGCAATTGAAGAGAGGACCTGAAGTTTTAGAGACCATACTATTCATTTTCATTATCTAGATGTTCATTTACTTACAGCTCCATAGAAAGTGGGGATTGAATTTTTTTTTTTTTGGGAACCGAAGAAAGCCGGGGGAAAAAAAAAACAATAGAGGAAACAGTGGATCGTGATGAATGATACAAATCAAATCCTATGCAGTCCTAAGGTTTGCATAGGACCCTGTAATTACTAAAGGAGGTGCAGAGCGGGCGAGGAAGTATACTGGTAGATTTTTTGCTTTCAATGTAATATTATTACAGTTACACAGCCTCATGATTAAGATTGTGAAGGTGATAATAGAATAAATTCTTACTGGTCGCCTCGGTGTATACAATGCACAGCGGTTAATTCATACGCAGATATTTCTGCCCCCATTTTATAGATTATTCTTCCGTCTTCTGTAAAAGCTTGGGAAGTACTCTACTTGATAATTTGTCGATGATCACGTTTGGAACTGAAGCTGATGGCCCCGTAAAAACCTCGCCGGGCATGATGTGGTTGGATAATTTGAAATTCAAGCAAGCAATATAAATTTGTCGATGTATTTTATTTTTCATTTCTTTTGAATTGTTGCATTTATCAGCGCGTAAAGGAATAAATTCGAAATGTAAGTTTAAGATAAATTAGATTAAGATTAATTATTTTAGAGGATTATTACTATGTCCAGTTGGGTATGTAATTTTGAAGGAGGTAATTTCTAAATTATCTTCTAGTGGTAACTAAGTTTGGCTGAGAAGAATTCTCAAAATTGAGACCTATAAATAAGAGGCTGGGAAGTGCTCCAGATAGTACTGGAGATACGCGAAATGTCGCGTAGAATGACAGAGAGAGTGAGGGTTGCTATGGTGATCTCAGTCCAGAGTCTGCTTCTGCGATCGAAGCGTACCCATGTATTCAACATATTCAAAGGGGGAAAAAGGAAGAAGGTTTAAATATTACATCTCTACTCAGATTTCATCAATCCCTGTTCCGTGAACTATTTAGTTCATTTGTTTTACAGGTTACTAGTTTGGCATTTTAATCCAAAGCTTGTGTGGAATTTAGTCTAAATAATCAAAGCCTTCAGAATCAGCTTTTAGAGAGTTCAAAACTTCAAAGTATGAACATTTTAGTTTGATAAATACCGTCCAAAGTTTTATCTAACTTGAACTCGATCTATGATGCAACTTAAGAATTCCGCGGAAGACAGAAGGTCTTTCAATTGACTAGTTATTACACAATGATGTGATATTTCAGAGTGAGACACATGAAGAAGTGTGTAAAGTGTCTGCACATCACAGCATTTATAGGGCGAGTGATGTTAAAGTCGGGGAAATATCAAGGTAAACCAAGCTTAACAAGACCGACCATAGCTCGGAAGACTGTATAGTTGGGAAATTCTCAGATAACACTGTCTTGAAACTTGGCAGGCATGATCCCAGCCAAATGATACTAGGTATACAACCAAACTTTGAAGATAATGCATAGCTCCCAGAAAACATGACAGGCTACCCATATCTGATTTCCTGAGGCCCTAAACATGGTTAAGAGCTGAGTAACTGAGAGAAACATCCATGTTTTGCACTCTCAAGTCTTTGCTAATGACTCGGAATCTCTCTACTTTGTTTATCTGTACAATGAGTTTAGAATTTGCTCACTCAATATAGAAAAAATTTATATTTCATTTGATCCTAAATATAAAAACTAGTTAAAGAGTTTATTTTATCTTAAATGTAGGATCTCAGTCTTCTTCATCGCCCATATTTATCATTTAAATCATAATTCCATATATACTTTGACTCTTGTTTATTTGTTTTCGATGCCACTCTTGAAAGCAATGCTGATGATGCACCGCAGTAAGAGAAATGGTTTTTGAATTCCCACTCCCAGAATAAATGTTGGCGGCATATGCTGTATCAGTATACTCAATGCGTCAAGCTCTGTGGAATATGCTGAATGAGAATGATAGAAGATGCAATTTCTACTTTGTGGGGGCAAGTGAAGGTTCTTCATTGTCATTTTCCATTGTACTAAGTAGTTAATGACTTGATGCATGATGTGTTTGGGGGAAAAAGGGGGAATGACAGTTATGTCCAAAAGAATAATTTCATAGTAGCCCAGTATTTAAATAATTATTTGCAACTCACCCTATTTATGACTTTATATAGCGTAATTTACAATTATTCCCCCACAATTGGTAACTTTGATATTGTTTCTAAATTTAACTGTCATTAAATAGATATTTGAAATCTAAAAATATTTTTGAAAAAAGTGCCAAATTTAAGGTTTTTTTAATTGCAAATTTAACTTACGAATCACGTAAGTTAACTTACAAATATAAACGTTTGACTTATAATTACATAAATTGTTGAGTGTTACTTGTAAATATGCAACTTGATTTATAAACATGAATTTTCCGAAACATTTTTGTATTTACATTTTTTAATCAGGACTTATGGATAATTTTTCTTATGTAAAACAAATAAAAGTCACTTCTTCATTCCCCATTAGGGTTAGAAATAGGCTAGGCTTTAGTTAAATAGGCCTAGGCCCACATCAGAGATCTAAAGTCTGAGCCTGCATGTAGGTTTTTTTTTAAGTTCGAACCTGAGCCTTCAAAAGGCCTGAAAGCTTTTTTAAAAGCCTAGTTAAAATTTAGGTATTTAAATAGGCTTAAAAACACGTGTCTAAATTTATGTGTAACTCTTCAAACCTATTTTAAAGCCTACGTTATGTCTTAAAAGCTTAGGATCTATTCTTACATATAATATAAGATAATAAAAGTCTAGTAAGGAAAAAGAATGTTTAGTGACAACAATTGTTCCAATAAATATGAATAAAAAAAACCAATTATATGTTGACTAAGGAGATATATTTTCTAAAATCAACCAAACCTAACAAGTGGCATGTAATTAAAACTAGATTTTACCTTTTGCTTTTCTGGCAGTATTATAATATTTCATTAAGGCATCTCTAAAACAAACTTATTATAATTATTATGCTTTAGTGAACAACGTAAGTCAGGGAAAAGGGAGTGAGCTAACATAGTCATCTTGAGTGATCAAAGAAAAGAAATGTAAAGGTGAAAGATTGATTGATGAAAGGGTTGTGTTTGTGTGTGAATGATGGGATGTGAGACTTAGGATTATGACTAAGTTAGTAATTTTATAAATAATTTATAAAATTAATCTAGATTATATTATATAATAGTGTAATTTTTTTTTTTAAAAAAGCTAAATAGACCAAGCCTGTAGATTTGTAGGCTAGGTCTTATAAAAATAGGCCTAGCCTATTTATTAAATAGATTAGGTTAGGTTTAAAATAAACCAAACCGTAAACTCCCGATAGAGGCCTAGTCTACTTCCACTCCTATTCCACACTCTCATACTTTGGAGGAGTTGCTTTCAAAGGAGAAGGGGCCATCAATGCCAGGAGGATGGGCCGTGTAAATAAAGTTGGCAAGTGTCTAATGATGTGTATAGATAAAATTCACAAATTGCTAATGATATCTGCCAATAACTGCATTCAAGTTTAGTTTTTTCTTCTTTATTTTCTTTCCACCTTTTATTTTAACCACTCAATGAGAAGCTTTGTTCGAATTCTTTTACACAAAATTAATCACTATAAAATTATGGATCGTGGTTGAGAATGATGTGAAGAGAATCCTTGATATAGCCAATTGAAATCCTTCACATCTTTGTATTGATTTTAGAATGAGCCAGACTCAGCTAAATTCAGGAGCCTTGGGAAAAAACTTGATTAAAAAGCTGCACAGAATTTCAAAGTTGAAAAAAAAGTATAAAAAAAAAAACTGAACCTTTACCCTATCATCTCATAGGAAATACAAATGGCTAATGGTTGTTAAAAGCATACTACATAGATGAATAATAACAAGAGCAAAATAATCTGAACCCTTTTTTTAACCTTAACTACAAAACGTTTCATATATTCCAAAAGCCCTTGCTTTAGTCCTATTTTTCAATTGTTAATAAATAATTTTAATGGACTTCAAAACAATATCTACTAAGTCCAAATTATATTAAAGATAAAAATTATTTTCCAATTTACTCTCATACCAAATCCTTCCTCTCTCATTATCTGCCCATTTAACCTTTAAGAATTTCAACAACAATATTTTTTTTAATTAAAGTAGAAGTTACTTACCCTCCTCGTAAGCCTTTCTAATGCTACCTCCGATCCTTAATTAACATCTTGTCTAATTTTTATTTTAGTCCTAAATATAAAACTCCAATTCACATTGTCTTTAATATTATGCATTTTATTTCAAGATAGTCTTTTTAATAATGGTAGTTCTAATTAACACACTTGATTAGCAAGGATATTTTAAGAAAGACAACACCTATTTATTACAAATAACTGACTTAACTTATCTCCTTAATCTTCTCAAATTAGTCAACTAGCTCTTATAATTAGGATCAGAGGTAGTATCATGTTATTACATTTAAACCTTATCTCTGTTTTTTTTTTTTGGCCACCATTTATATATGAATGAGATATGATCATATTCATATCCTCTATTTTATAAAGATTTATTTTATAGTATTATATATAAAGGGGGGAAAAAAATAAAAGACCGGGGATTGGAGAAATAAAAGACACGGGATTGGCTAATATATATATGTGTATGTATGAACATAACTGTACTGCAACTTGAAGCTGCCCTCTCTTGTTTTCGCCGCTGCCGATCTCTTCAAACTCGCACAGACGGAGGCGAATCGCAATGCCATGGCCGAGGAGGATTCCTCCACCGACCACCACTTCCTCCACGTCGAGTCTCTCCCACTCGTCGACCTCCGCTTCCTCTCCCAATCTGAACTCTACTCCCTCTCCCTTTGCTCCTCTTCCCGCATTCTTCGCCGTCTTGACGACGACGCGATAATCCCCAAAATTGACCGCTCCGTTTTCAACGAATCCGCCGGCAGCCGAAAGCAGACCTTCTCTCGCCTCCGCCTCGCTCCTCGTAACAACCAAATCTCTTCTGTTTCCGCCGTCCCCATTCAAATTGCCCGCCAAAATTCCGAGCCCATCGATGAAGACAGCACCCAAATCATTGGCCTACTTCAACAACTCTTCGGCGTCGAGTCTTATGGTGACGTCAAGCATGGTGATAATAACCTTGTTCCGGTCCAGGTTCAGTTTCAGGACCCTTTACCAGAATCCGCGACCGTTGCCTTTCAGAGTATTCCAATTGACATCGTTGATGTCAGTCAGACCAAGCGGAAGCGTGGGCGGCCGCGGAAGAATGAAAACGCGGGAATACCCTTGGAAGATAAATTAAGAAAGGAGGGCGGTGAGGTGATGACGGTGGCCAATAGCAACGGTGTTCTTGTGGACGGGGTTGCTTCGGTTAATGTGGAGGATCCGTTTGGAGTGGAGTTAAAAAGGAGGACCCAAGGCCTAGAGACCGAGTCCTCGACCGTCGCCTTGCAAAACATTCCAACTGACGTCGTTGCTGGTGGTCAGAGAAAGCGGAAACGTGGGCGGCCGCGGAAGAAGGAGAATGCACGAATCCATATGGAAGAGAAACCAAAAGAGGATTCTGGGGAGGCGATAATAATAGTTAACAACAATGATGTTCTTGTTAACGCAGCTGCTTTGGTGAACGATCCATTTGAGGAGGAGTTGCAGAGGAGGACTCAAGGGTTGCAGACTGAGTCCCAGTTGTTGGAATTCATGGGAAGTTTAGATGGAGAATGGGCAAGCCAAAGGAAGAGAAGGAGGATCGTGCCGGCTGGCTATTTTGGCGACTTTTTGCCCAGAGGATGGAAGATCATGCTTTCTCTCAAGAGAAGAGCAGGTCACGTGTGGATAATCTGTCGCCGTTACATAAGGTTTTCAATTTTCTCTATTTTAATATAATATCTTTTAAGTGAACGCCTTTGCTTTCTCTCTTTTCTGGTTTTGTTTTCCTGATACACAAGTTACAAGAGTTGAAAATTGATACCCTTAGTTTGTACCATTGCATTGAGCTTGCAGTCATGTATAGAGTTGATTATTATGGAACATCGTGTGCCTTGTCGGTCATGTACATGCTTAGCGTCATTTTACTCCTGTTATAGCTCTTGGTGCGTTTCGTTATCTTAATTTGGCTTCATCTATTACTTCTACTATTCATTTGGGTGCACGAAACAGAGCAGAATGGCAAGGACTATGGTAGTCATTGATGAATGGGATCTTTTGGAAATAGTACTGGTGAGCGTTCCGTCGTTTGACTAGCCCGCACTGGGCCTTGACGTTGTTTGGCCCTTTTGAGGGAGAAGGGAAAGATTGTTTCATAAAGGAATATAGGAGCGGTTTTTTTTAATAATTTTTTTTTTTTAAAAAAAAAGAATGGATGTTTAATTAATGTTGAGAAGGGAAGGGATCCCCATATTATGATGTTTAAAATATGAGTATATGTATGAAGAAGAAGGATAAAAAGAGAAGGAAACAGGCAAGAAAATAATTAAGCATGGGTTGAAATTTTTTGCTCTTCTACAATTTATGAGTTGCACTAAACCAACCGTTTCATTTAGAAAGTGAGACTTTGATAGATTTTGAAATGAATGAATTCAAAAATTTTGAAATTTAATGAGACTCGTTACGCTAATTGAAGGCATACAATTTTAGATGGGAATTGGAATAGGAAAAATGATTGGGACCAAGAATAGGAACGGGCTTTCAAAATTATGTTTGGCATGCAAAGGAAAGTGAATGGAATAATTGTAAGAACTTTGTTTGTTCTCTGTGTGTGTTTGTGTGTGTGTGTGTGTGTTTTTTTTTTTTAATGTATGGAAAATAATTATAAAACAGGAAGACTATAACACCCTCATTTTTTTGAGCATCTCTCTCCTCCATCTTAACTTCTTCCTTCCTAGCCTAGACAGCCATCTAGAAACCTCGATTCTTAAAATTAATCATTCATTGCTAGAAACATGATCATTCTAGAATTCATGGTTATGAAATTTTAAAAATAAATCATTCTTCAATTCTTCTTGTCATCACTTTCACCATTCCCTAATCTATACCACGTTTTTTGTGATAAGCTAAGTCTATTGGCAGCTCAGCTAATTGTAGCCTTTGAAGATTCATTTCTCATGGGTATACGCCCCCACCCCCCCCCCAAAAAAAAAGAAGCTCTGGTGAATATTCTCGTAGCAAGTTTCCAAAGGATTCATTTCTCAACTTGGGGAAGTCACGTTTTGATGTCTTATCCTCATTTATGCAGCTGTTCTTCTGTACATCATCAGCCTATTTAAGACTTTTAATTTCTTTAGAATTAGAAAGTTTACAGCTGTTGTCTCTCCTCGGTTCACTACATTCATCTGTTAGTTCAATTCAACTGCTATGGACGGAAGGATTTATCTCTACTGCTGTGTGGCATTTCAGTTTTTGGGATAGAAATATCAGTACTTTATTATTTATTTTGTGGTTATTTTTATGATATTCTTATACATCTTAATTTGGTACCCTTCAGCCCTGATGGGCGACAGTTTGTGTCATGCAAGGAAGTTTCTTCGTACTTGCTTTCTTGTTTTGGACTTCAAGAGATAAGCAATTTAGATTCTAGTCATACCGATGGAAGCCTGCAGTTTCTGGGTAAAATGGCGCCTGAAAATGTAAGTAAATATTTTATGGTATTATATGCTTCTTCATTTGATAATATGAAGATAAACAAAGGAATTATTTATTTATTTTTCATCTTGCAGGGTGTTGGTTTGCTCCCTACGAGTGACATGAAGGCCTTGAATATTTCAAGTAATTTGCTTATCCCTAGCGCATCTGCACCCGTTGATCATGCAAATCAGGCCACCCTATCATCATCAATTGGAAGTGGTGAGAAAAAAAATTCTGATGAGAATGTCAATCAAGATCTGGTTTCAGGTACTAAACCAGGAGGAGATAGTGCAGCTTGTGGCAGAATGTTTACTGGCTTCAACCATCACGGAAGTTTGTTTATTGATGAGCGACCTTTGAAGGCTAATCAGAATGATAAAAATGCAGTTCAGGGATGTTCTCCTGTGGATGGTAAAGTCGGTAATGAAGCTAATGAGAAATTGGATGAGGTTCATGATGTTGCTTCCAGACCTGATGCTCATTTGGACGCCAGAAATTTCTCCAATAATGAGAGTAATGGTAATTGTGAATTCATTGATGAAATAAATGCTGTCAAATGCATGAAAAGTGGAAGTGGTAATTTTGTTAATCAAGATGGAAATACCAGATGCCCTGAAACTATTTCTTGTGGAAATGCGCAACCATTTGTTTTCAAAAGCAGTGGATATGAGCTTCCTGTAAGATTGGTGGAGGATTTTGGGGAGCAGATAGATTTTGGAAGTGGCAAGCTTCCTCCAAATTTTGAAGAGAAAAGACGTGCTGCTGATGGATTGGAAGATGTGAATATTAAACATGGAAATCTATTTGAGAATGACAGGTGGCTCACCAACTCAGGCAACTGTCACTTGGAAACTGAAGATGTTTTGAACAGTTTTAAACTTGCTGGTAGTTCAGAAGGCTTTTCGGCTGCCCATTCCCGTATTGAGCTAAAAGATGTTTCTGTTAATAGCGTGAAAAGGATAGGTGGACTAGATATTGATCCTAATGTCAAGGTGATTAAGGATTTTAATGATGATCATACTCCTCATAATGAGGGTGTTGTGACAAGCTTTGCACTGGAAACGAGTTCCTCGAAGGAGCAAGGTTTTGGTTGCAAAATTGACAGTTTATTTGCCAGAAGCATTGAACAAAATTTAGTTATGCCAGCTGGTGATGAACCCCCTTCTGCTTTTGATAATAATTCAAATATTGCCTTCTCTGGCACCTTAGATACACTTAAAACTGTTGAAGCGGCCTGCAAGAACCCTCCATTAGACCTTGTGTGCTGCAATAATGATGCCGCAGCAGATGCATATAGTACCACAAGCATGATAATGGGAAGGTCTGGTGGCCGTGTATCTAGTCCTTTGAGTAGCAGTATTCAAAATAAATTTGAGGGGCAAGGTCATGATGGAGTGGATAATGCTGATAAATTTTGCTTAACAAAGGTGGCTAAGGGTGACCAAGTTGAAGTATGTGAGAACGATGAGGCATTACTAGCATTTGGCCGCAACCAGATTGAGTCAGGTGTTGATATGACAAGCAGTGGGTGGAAGAATGTTTAAACAAGCGATGGATAGTAGTTTTGCAGAATGAACTGGTTTCCACAATCCTCTGCTTGTATATTCTCAAGTCACTAACAAGGATAGTATCCTGGAAAAGGTAATCTTTCTATCTTAATTTACAGTAAGATTGCCTGGATAACTGCTGGAAATTGTTTGATGCACAAGAGCTGGTGGTTTTCCAGGAATTCTTTTTTTTTTTTTTTTCACGCATCTGTTGGGATTGATTATAAAATCTACGAAGATTGATTTTTTCTTCTTCCACGATTTAGTGATTTTTATCTCAAAATTTGCTGCCACAAAACCTGATAATAAAATGGTTACTATATCATGATCATCATTATTATGATTTGGGGATCAGCCCTGTGGAAGTGCTGCCATTAAATGGGGGAATGATTAATGTTTACAGTAGGCTTTGACCTACAAATCCCGTGGTACTTTCTCCCCTCTAAGGACATGGATGGCTTTGTAGATGATGAAAGTGCATTTAATAAAGAAAGAAAGAAAAAGAAAGCAAATAATCGAATAATGATATTTGGAGAAATGATTTGCAAGTGCTTATGAATATTGTTTAAGCATGCTATTAGTGGTTCGATATTACAATACTGTCATTTTATTTACTTCTTGCATTTCTAATTCTAGTTGGAATGTAAATCGTTTCAGTAAGTAGATGCTCAGGTACTGAGCCAATATTATGAATATGGGGAAAATAGTAATACCTAAGACACGATTCCTGTCGCGATTGTGTGGTCATTGGAGGTAGTTGTAAAATGTTCTTAATAAAGTAGTGCTAGGTTGGAAATCAGGTACTAGGTGGCACTATGCAACTAGTTTGCTTGGAGAGTGAGAAACTTGGGAAATCGGTTTGGTGAGGGGGTTGGACCACGTGAATGACTCATGCAATGATGCTAATAGGAGTCTTGTCTTCATTGTATGGCTGTTGAGCATGTTTGAAATTGCATCAAGTTTCTCTCCTCTTTGCCATTTGTGCACTTTTGCCATCTTTGGTATCAAAGAACGTCTCGTGCACCAGCACTGGTGCTTTCCTCCTACTATGACCAAAAACGCTTGCTCTCAGGACTGCATTTGTGATGTTGAACTCGGTCTTGAAATGAGCCAAGTTGAGATGAATGACCTCGAGCGATTGGGTATTGCACAGGGAGGCTCTTCTAGCTGATATGGCGACGGAACTTGTACAACCAGCGTGACAGCCCATCATGACCTGAATGCTGTAGATTCCAGCACAAACGGAGACTGACCACCGGCTATTTATCTGCAAATTGGTTCGTATACCAGTGACCAATGCAACATCGTTTCCCTACAAAGCTCTTTGGGCTTGAATTTTTGAAATCCGATGGTACTGACTTACGTTACGTTCTTCAGTTCTGAGCAATTCTCTTGTGAGACATCTTATTATCATGTACGTTTAGTGAGTGTCCATCTCGAAGGGAGTGCTCTTCCCAGGTACCAAGTTTTCCCTCCTGAAAGAAATGGGATGTGGCAAAAGGTCATTCGTGATGGCTATTTGAGAAACATGAATGCGTATGCTTTGGCGAGGCGTTAATAGTTGATGCTCTGTCTGAGCAGCAAAATTTGAAGCAAGGAATGGTTACTCAATGGTAGGAAAGGTATGAGCATCTTCTTGTTGGCCTCCAAAAAAAAAAAAAAGTATGAGCAACTCTTATTGGAGATTGAGTTGCCTGAAGAACTGGCCTCGCATTGTTGCCTTGGCAGCTCACGTTTTGATAGAGGATTTTGATAGGAGGTATTTGGGTAACTAAAAAACTACTTTTAAAAAAAAAATTCTGCAAATCGAAACAAATTTTTTTATATATTTATTTTATATATTATAAAATTATTTTTAAAATTATGATTTAGTATTCATTCCGATATTTTTTTAGTATCGTCGGTTTAGTGTATTAGCGAGGTACTAAGAATCATATTAACCATTAAGGCAGTCGAGGCCCTGATCCATAATTCTATAGTCCCATATGATTAAATTGTTCAACCGGTTATTAAATTAGATGCATATGTGCATAAATTATGTTATAAATTTAGTTGAAATTGGAAAAAATAAAAAGCCTAATAAAACAAATTGAATAATCAGTTTCAACTGTTCTGTTATCGATTTTGTGGGTTGTTGTTGGAGAGGTTTGTTGTTGTTTGGGTTTTGAATTGGACATAAACAACATAATTGTATATAACAAAAACATAAAATAAAAAATAATTGCTTTATTTGATTCTAAATATACCTTAAAAATAAAAAATTGTAATTGATAAGCAAATGACAAGTCCCTATATGCAAGTTTTTAATTTTTAGGGTCTTTTTTCCCTGGGAATACAATATTCAAATATATTACAAAAAACTAAACAAATTTACTTAATATTTATAAATTTATAAATTAATTATAGATAACATGCAGGGTTATATCCCAGTCGGGATGGCCTTGAACTCGCAACTTCCATATCATCATCATCATCATTTTGGTGCATTGAACCCTTAAACTGGCTAGACATCGGGTTAAGTTTCTAAATCAGCAGCTCGGCTCAACGTGGGGATTTTCCAGGCTAAACCGACACATCCGGTTTGGACCGGGTTCACAAGTCCGACAGCTTGTGCAGGATGCCTTAGGGGGTGTTTGAATAACTTCAAACCATGATTTGGAGAATAACTTCTGGAAAATAGATTTTGAGAAGAATAGATTTTCTGAAACAGTAATTTTGATAAAGTGAGAGTGTTTTGATAGTTGTTGTCAGAAGTGCTTTTTTATATATTGAAATTACTACAAAGAACATAAATTTAAATGATAATTACATATAACATATATTTCATAATATATGTTTATTTGAAGTAATAAATTTGTTAATAATATATATTTTGACAACATAATAAATAAGACATAAATAATATAAATAATTAATGTGTATATATATAAAATAATTACATATGTTTTTAGAAAAATAATTTATTTTGCCAATAAAAAATATTATTTATTAAAGATTTTAAAATGAAATCTCATAATTTTCAGAGGAATGGGAGAAGGGGCGACGGAATGGGAGAGAAGAAATGGGAGAAGAGGCCTTCGAATGGGAGAAAAGAGACTTTTTCACGGTTGGGAGCTTTTTTACTTCTCTGCTTCAGCGTAAACCAAGGTGTTTGGTAATTTTTTCCCAAACCATGGTTTGGAAAAAAAAAGCCAAACACCCCTTAGTGAGATTTTGAAATTTGTAGAATGACATTGTAGGTTGACCGTTTTAGTATGGCGATTTTCCAGATTTTAAATGTCGAAAACTTTCACAACTCACTGAAAGGAGTGTAAAAATAAAGTTGAAGCTTCAATACAGTGATCCTTGACCCTGTCACTATGGCCAGGAAGTAGATCTTGACTATGGAGAGCGAAGGGAAGATAAACATGAGCTGATCGAGTAAAAAGTGAGGATGGAAGAAGTTTCATACGACTAAAAGGCATCAATTATGGATCAGAGATGGGTTGTCTATTTATAGCACACAAACACACATGTCCTGTACTTAAATGTTTAAGGATAATTGCTAACAAAAGTATTATATGGAGATGAGAAGAGACTTGGAGCAAAACATTTTGTCTGAAGCAGATGAGGTATTAGTCAAAAGAGGTGGCGAGCACACATGAAAAAGCACAGGGAAAAACTGATTAATAATGTCCAAAGGCGCAAACCAACTCATAAAGCATAACCGGCAATTTTATATGTCAAAGATCTAAACTCTTCTGATTCTCGGTAGAAATGAACTCGAAGAACGGACAAAACAGGAAATGTAACCAAAGAGGGAAATCCAGAAGAGGAGAAACGCGCAATCTGGATATAGACGAGTCCCTCAGAGAGTTTGGTTAGAGAATGGATGTATGCCTCCAGAACAAAGCCGACAAGAAATCGATCATAAGATCTCAGCCCTTGCAGCCGAAAGGAGAGGCAAATCACTTTCACGCAAAGTCACGCTACCAATGTTATTTGCTCCTGTTTACCCTCAAGAATCACACACCGCCACAAAAACGCACAGAACAAAGCAATCGGCAATCTAAGCTAAAAGAGCATCGTCACCCTGTTGAGAGATAAGAAAAAGGAACGCCGGGCGAGCATATATAGAGGATATGAAACCCTAAAATCGGCCAACATGGACCTCTTCTCTTTTGGTGTGACCATGTTCATAAAACAGGGCCTAAGGAATGGCCCAAAAAATTTCACAAAAAATTGCTTTGTAAGAAGGGAAAATGACACATAAAGAAGTTTGAAAATATAAAATGTCAATTTGAGAAGCTAAGAAAATGTAATGACAGAGAGAAAAGCTCTTTCCAAATTGAAAATTTAAAATTTAGTAAAATGACAAAAATACCCTTTGTTTTTTTTTTAAAAAAAAACCCCAGCCCCTCACTAGTGGTCTACGACCGGCAGCCACTGCCGACGACTAGCAGCCGCCACGGGCACAAGGGCCAGCCACCAGTGTGGTAGCTGTCGGTTAAGCTTTTTTGTCACAATATATATATATATATATATATATATATATATATATGGACATGAGAGAATATGGTTCAAAATGGCACGGGTGGAACTTGATCCTACAATTCCTTGGCCATTTGGGCCCATAAAAAGGAAAATAATCACTGGGCCATTAAAGATTTTTTAATCTTATAATGTAAACAAAAATATAAATTGACTCTTTTACTGTGACTTCAGCCCGTGACAACAATTTATCTGAGGATGACAAGTCTTAATTAAGAAATAACAAGTCTAAATCTGATATTAAGAAAGTAACTGTTCCTGATACATGACAAGAATTAGCATGTACATTAATTAAAAATGACCATAATTTATTTGAAAATGATATGAAAATGACAAGTTTTAAAATTGCGATAATAACAAGAAATAGCAAGTTTAAACTCGATACGATAAACAAAGCAACTTTTCCTGATATATAACAAGAAATAACAGGTATATTCCGAAATAAATTGTGTCATTTTTCACTAAAGACGTGTCATTTTCCAATGAAGATGTGTTATTTTCAAATAAATTATAGTTACTTTTAATTAATGTATATGCTATTTCTTGTTATGTATCAGGAAAAGCCACATTGTTAATTTCAAGTTTAGACTTGTCATTTTCTAGTAAAGATGTGTCATTTTCAAATAAATTATGGTTATTTTTAATTAATATACATGCTGCTTCTTGTGATGTGCCAGGAAAAGTTGTTTTGTTAATATCAAACTTAAACTTGTTATTTTTCAATTAAGACTTGTCATCCTCAAATAAATTGTTGTCACGGGTTTAAGTCATAGTAAAAAAGTCAACTTATATTTTTGTTTCCATTATAAAGTTAAGAAATTTTTGATGACCCAATAGTCATCTTCTTTTTTGTTGGCCCAAATGGCCAAAAGGTTGTGGGATCAAATCTCACTCCCGCCACTTTGAACCATATTCTCCCATGTCCAAATATATATATATATATTGTGATAAAAAAGCTTCACCAGCAGCCACCACACTGGTGCCCGGCGGCGGCTGCCAACTGCGTCCACCGGTGAGGGGCTGAGTTTTTTTTTTAAAAAAAAGACAGAGCATTTTTGTTATTTCACTGAATTTCAAAATTTTAATTTATGAAGGATTTCCCTCTCTGTCATTATATTTTCTTAACTTTCCAAATTGATATTTCACATTTTCAAGCTTCTTTATATGTCATTTTTCCTTGTAAGAAGTCACTACTTTCCCTTTATTTTCATTCAAAAAAAAAGAGGAAATTAAAATCTCTTTTTGGTCTGAACGAAAACACAATAATGTTCTTTTTTTGTTATGCATGTTGCGAGCATTGGATACAAAATTTATCAATTTTTACTAATAATTATGTTACAAATTATACAACAAAAATAACAATTCACCTCTTATAAAGTGGAAAAGTAAATCTTGATAGTTGAAACACACACAACCCCCCTTCCCCCCAAAAAAAAAACCCAAATACCCCCAGCAGTTTGAACTATTCAACCCGACTTTTGTTCTTCATCCTAATTGGGATCTCTATCTTGATACTATTATGTCGCGCGCCCGCCCCCTTCATATTAGCTCCTTTTTTTTTTATTACTTTAAAATTTATTATCTTATTAAAATATGAACAGTGAAAGAGCTGCCGCAGGAAGGGAGGAATTTTAATAATCCCTCCAAATCTCAGGGAGGCTTAAGAGAGATCTTCCACTCCACCTTTCGACCGAATTAAAACAACTCGACGAAAATCAACTCAGGAAAAGCACTTCAGTAACAACATCGGTTGTATGATTGGCGGAGGACTACCAGACGCGACTTTGGACACCCCTCCCCCTTTTTCCCACCATTCTTTGGATGGGAATCGTTATTCAAAAGATAGAGCTACAAAAGATATTTTTAAAAAAATCCACATCATCATTTCATCATCTCCCATCTCTTCGCCCAGCGATTAAAAATACGAAAATCATTATCGCCTAGCTAGAATATTAGCATACCGTTTTGCTTCTCTACATACAAAATACAAGGGAACTTGCCACTCTTTAGCTAAGACTCCTCATACTGCAACAAAGAGAAGAATCAAAGATCCATGACTTCTCCATTTCATTTTCAAATCAATCTCCAAACAAACTTGTAAAAAATCAATCCCCATAAGACGCATATTCTTTATCTACACAGCCCACTGGTCATTTGTGCCGAATAAACGAACAAAATATACAGAAATCAAGCAATCTCAAGCCCTACAACCTCACAAAGCAGGTAGCTTTACAGTTCAACAAACCCTTGTTAACTTTTGCTTCGGTGAGTTGCTGATTCAGAAGAATCCAGTCAAGACTAACCCAACTGAGTATGTAGTGTGTGTGAGTCTTATATACGTTGTTTACTCCAATTCATAAATCATAAATTGGCAAGCCCTGCAAAGATAACCTTATTTATTCTTTGTATAAACTGCACCCAACGAGAAAGATGGTTTGAAAGATGTCATCACCTAAACCTAACCACAACACATGATATATCATCTTTACTGTCTCTTTTCAATGCTTCAGCCGTTAATTGCTTAGCTGCTTTCTGTGGGTCTCTCATCCTTCTAGCAATATCAACTGCCTCTTGATTAGACATAACCTGTTGTATAGTCAAAAACTTTAAATGCAAGACATATTGAAACAAGCATAGACTTTTCTAATTGGTAACAATGGTTTGAGCTGCCATAATTCACCTTCCAAAGTCCATCACTTGCCAGGATTAAAATATCAATATCAGAATTTATAGCAGCATTCCGTACATCAGGGTCTGACCGCAAATGTGACTTGAGGCTCTTGTCTCCAAATGCACGTGATACAGCTAACTGTCCATTTACTCTAGGCACATCACCTGAGATGCAGCAGAGATCATCATTAATGGTAGGGTACTAGGGTTTGTATATATGTTCATACGTACTCAACGGCATACTCTCATCATAAAAATAATACATTTGCGACATAAGCATGCAATAACCAATACATTCCTACACAAGCAACCTGAACGTGGTTCATTGCTTTGACGTAACTTGAAAAAAAAAATGAAACAAGAATTTGAATGAGACTACTGACCTTATTAGTCAGGCTCCTGTCCATCAACAATCTTAAATTAGGCCAAGTACAAGGGCCATTCAAGCAATCAACCCACTACACTTAACCAAGCCATCACACTCTCACGCTATTCTAACACTCCTAAATTGAAGATTGTTCAAACTAATCTCTACTACTTGAGTTACACAAGTCACCAGACAAAACAACATGTTAGAGCTGAAATTTTCCATTTCCCTCTTTTTTTCCCAACCAAGGTTTCGGGCCACAGGACAGACCAAAACCTCACATCACTTAATTCATACTAGGAAACTACCAAAAAAAAAAAGTAAAACACTATGAAAGCCCAGGCAAAAACAACAACACTATGAATATTATGACCTACACCATATTGAGGCCTCAAGGGACATAAAAGGTCGTTCAGCCATTAGTGGACACAAGTGTGTCTAATTGCACCATATGAGCTGTTCTTATAGTTCTGGAGTCAAGTATCTCTTCAAAAGGAACCAAGTGAAAAACATTCTAGCTACTAAAAAATGGTTCACTCACTAGTTAAAGGTTGGAAAATTAATATTGGAGCTACGATGAAGAAATGGGACAAGAACTCTCCTGCATAAGTGGTTGAAGCTCCAAAAAAAAAAAAAAAACTAGTTATTGAAGGCTTGCTAAAGTAATCTAAGCTCCAATACCACTTTAATGGAAAAGAATGACCGAAGAATTTGAATGGGATCGCTAATTTCATAAGTCAAGCTACCCCGTGCTCATTTGTAACAAGTCATGTCAAATACAAGGATAGGACAACTGGTGCAAGCCCAGCCTACAAGTAGCCAGCACACTCATTTCAAACTACTCGTCATAGTCATACATTTCTAACACTTTGGAAAGGTGGCTACAGGTTAGAAAAAAGAACCTCTCAAGAAACTGGCACCCGGAGGCACAGAAACCAGAAAATGAAATAATTGTAGCATAATTACCTGGTAAGTTGGAAACAAAACCACCTTTGTTCTCAATGATGCCCCGTTCTGTGTTGGGCTCATGGTCTATAGTCATTTGCTCAGCTTGACCTTTTCTTGAAAGAACTGCTCGTGAATCTCCAACATTAGCTATCCACAACCTTTGGCCATTGATCAATATTGCAGTTACAGCAGTTGACCCACCACGGCCCAAATCAGAACTATTTGCTAGAATTGCCTGATCTGTTCGCTCATAAGCTTTTGAGATGGATCCAGTGGGGTCTTCCCAGAATTCCTCCTAAATATTACATCAAGTATCAGAACTTAACCTTATTGGTCTAATATATAATAAATTTAGCATAGAAGGTAGGATGAATCCACCTCCTTTATGATATTAGTAAGCAAATGTTTCTGTAAGTAAGCCGGTACGCGGTCTCCTAAATGGCCATCATAGATAGCAAACAACCCTAACTCTTTTCCCTGAATCTGCACAAACTTGGCAACATGATAATCCTCCATAGGGTGATCAGCTCTCCCTTTTACTAGGCAAAAACCATACTTTATTGATCCTTCATTATTTTTCCCCTTACCAGTGCTTGATGAAGAACGTGAGGCCACAAGCTGTAAAGAAATCAAAACTAATCAGAAAAAAGTCCTGCAAGTCTAGGGACAGATATATTTAAGCGAGAAAAAGCATTTGATTTCATTTCCCAACCATCCAGAATAAATAACCAGCTAAAATTCCCTGTCAAGAAGACAGCGCCTTCAGATTTCTAAAAGCATTTACACGGAGACTCTGTTCAAAAATACCCCAAAACAAAATGCTTCCGCATACAAATTGCAAATTGGAGACTTCCTGCAACTCCCCTTTCAAACATGATGACGACTAAATTAACTGTTACCGCATGATTCACATCTCAGAATTCGAAGTTCAAGGTTTCAGCAAAGCTGGTCACCAATAACAAGAAAGAATGTAGAAATGGATATTCAAATTCACCATCACCCCACCGAAAATCAAATTTCTTTTCGAGACTCAATGCGCTGAACACAATGCTTAAAGCAGGAACATCCGAGAAAGAGACGAATTGGGAAAATATTGCATTCTTACCTGAGAGTAGGAAGACTTAAAACAGCATAATTTATCCATGAAAAAAGCTGAACAACTGGTTCAAATTTTGAACTAGTTGTCAACATAGACCACTCGATTGACAGCGTGAATTAAAATTTCGAAGCAGACCCACCTGCCGCAGTCACAAAACTTTTCCAGAATCACGAGCTGTACAATCAAAAACCGAAAGCCAATCGATAAAGAGAAGGTAGATGAAAACCTTCAAAAAACAACCCTAAAACCCCAGAAAGATACATACCACAACAAAATCCAAAAAACAAGGGAGATACAGATCAGTATTAGAGAAATTCATCTTACGGGTCCAATCAAAATTTAGATAAGGTTTCGACTGGGTTTTCCTTAGTTGAATAGTTCATGTTCTTTCTCTTCTACTCTTTCCCCTCCTAATCAGTTTGTACATGAAATTAATTAAACGCGTGACATTCAAAAACCATAAAAGGGGCAAAACATGTACAAACTTTTCTTCAACACAAATGATAAGGGGGAGAAAAATATCGTGAGAGGAACCTAAGAACGCAATGCTCTGTTATGAAACCGTTTTCGGAGTCTTCTCAAGTCCTTGACAAAAACAAGAAGAAAAAGTTGCCTCGCGTCCTCAAACCAGATTTTGAAAATAAAGCGAGTGGGTCGATGTATTTGTGGAGAACCCAAAAGAAATGAACTGGAACTGCACTAACGGTGAATTTTTATTTCAGGCCAAAAAATAAAAACAGTGAATTTTTATATTTTACATCGAGTGCTTGTATAAAGTTCAATATGAATAAATCACTTGTGAAAAAAATATACAATTTCCTAAAATTGCTATATTTGATATTAATACTCATATTGATGATCATACTGATAGTACTAGAATAATAAAAAGATTTGAGCTCGAGAAACTCTCAGCTCATTTAAACATTTATGTATCATCCTCTAAAAGATTGGTCAGCTGTCAAGTTTATATAAAATTATGCTATTTTGCAATATTCAGGAGACATTTGATTATTTTGAATATTTGAAATTGGTCACTAAACACCAATTAAAGAAAAATATAAAAAAAATGAAAATGACGGTAAGTTCTTATGTTACCCGAAGAATAGAGTACCATCTTAAGTTCATACTCGATTAGTGACGCCAAAATAATCATTCAACGACATACAATGAACAGAAACACATACAAACTGAGATATGAAACCTGAATTAACCAAATTCTTGGATCATTCTCGGATTTGTGGCAATGTAACATCCTAAAATACAAGTTTTAAACAGCGTCATAAATGTTTGAAACCGTGAAACGTACCATTTTACAAATTAAAGCCCTTAGGATTAACAAATAATTTAACATGGAACGTGGAGTCTCTCTATTTTTTTTTTTAAGTATAATTCATACTATTCTCAACATTTTGAACTTAAAACTAATCTCTATCAAATTGAGAACATTAAAATTAAAACCATCCCAATTTTTAACAAGTATAGGTAGACCACGAAATTAAAACTAATTTCTATCAATATTTGAATTTATGTTCTCTTTTTTACGAAATAAGACAGTTTATAATTTCAATCAACAACTTATTGGTACACCACGAAATCTATTTATCTTACTTTAATAAAGCTGTGTTTTTATGGGACAAAAGGTGGAGTAGTTGGAATACTAGGGGAAAGCCACTGGCTAGGCCAGCGACCATCCATGGGTAGGAAATACACATACAAACACACAGAGAAACACGATCAAATAAATGAATAATGGAAATTTAAAGGGAAAAGGACACTGAGTTGTGATGCCTCATCGAGTGGTTGGAGCAAGCTTTCAATGAATAATGGAGCCATGAAGGCCGCAGGAAGATTGACCACCAACTTGAATTGGTCAATAATCTGGACTCCTCACACGTTACTTGCGTGAGAAGGATACCCAGGCCTTCCACACAAATGTGATTGGTTCAAACAAGATTTTTTTTAGCATGGTCCATGTTTAGGGCACTGATCGGTGAAGATCTTTCTCATTTAACATCTTGAAATCATTGAACAAGTCAAAGCCGTCCACGTCTTCCATTCCTAACATTAGCTGTCCTAACATATATAATAAATGAAATTCCCATTTTAGCTTCTAACATAAGTGGATAATTTTTTATTCGTGGCCCAAAAATTATTCCTTTGAATTTACTCCTCGTCTTTTTAACCTATTTGTGCTGTGATGTTGTTCTATTTTGCCCTGACCTAAAATTTAATATTCTACTGATTTAAAGATGGTACAGTTTCACAATAATGGCAAATCAATGGAAAATATCTATTCTATTTACCATCAAATTGAAGAAAGACCAAATAAAATTATCTCCAAGCATGTAAAAGATGCTTTTACATGAATTTAACAACTTACTGTATGAATTTTAAGAGTATCAATTTGTCTTTGTTAATTAACATTTACAAAATCATGGGAAAAAAAATACCCCTCTAATCAAATAAATCACTTCAAACATATCTTAAATATATTAAGAAAAATCTTAAAATTTAAATTTAATTTAAAATTTAACAAATTTTATTCTTATTTAATATGCATTATACGTCATAGGAATTACAAAGTGAACACAATATTAAATGAAGATTAAAATTACATATTTATAAGAAAGGTTTCTTTTCCTACCCTATTTACGAGCATATACATGGAAAAAAATCTCAACGCATGATCGTAGTGGGTTCTTATAGAAGACATCGTCTGACTTTTATGGGGAGGTAACGCTTTTATCTAAGTCAGAAGACGCTATTTAGAAATTTGAATCTTGCATATTAAACCCAGTTGCTGGCTTTTAAAAGTCCTGTAGCGTCAATTTAATTGGTCATTGATTTTTCAAATCTGCTCCGCAACTTTAGTAATTTTGATGTCATAGCATTTCGCAGGAAAATTTCAATGTTCATTATTTTAGCTTTTCGCCTGGAACACTGAATCCTTCTCTTGTATCTTGTACTACCTCTAATTTTTAATATAATAACTACCTAATTAATTAAGGTATATTAAGAAAATTAGTTAAATTAGTTATTTGTAAGAAAACTATGAGTTAATTTTTTTAAAGTATCATTTTAATTAAACTACAAATTAAATTGAGGATCTATATTTATGACTAAATTTAATTTTCAAATGAGTTCGTATTATATTTGATCTTTCTTCCAGAAAGAAAAGTTTCTATCCTGATGTCATAAGCGCGTTACAGCCACCACTATTAATGTTCATGACCATTAACGATTAATCTTTTGGGTTATCGCCCAACTTTGGAAAGCATCTTTACTAAAACGTACACTGGCATTGACCCTCATCGACCGCAGGTACCAAATAATGAAAAAAGAATCAACAGTTAAAGAAACATCTATTCAATGTAATACGGGAAAAGACATGTTACTGATATCATACACACACAAGCACAAAATAATTGAGTTGGCTAGACCCATGACTTAATTGACATAAACTTCAAATTAAAAGATATGATATCAGGCACAGAACAAAATATACAGTGTGTTATTTGTTAAAAATAAGCAAATAAAAGAGACCGTTTACCGGGAAAAATGATACAAAAGAGACCATGGCATTAGATGTGAATAGAATATTCTTTTACTAACGGGGTTGGTCCAAGTGGTAAACGGTTTGGTATCGCTTAAGTAAGGTTTCGAGTTCGAGCTTCAGTGTATGCAGAAATTTCCGTTGGGAACTCACTCACCACAACCAGGTACACACGCGGGTCGAATCCAGATGTAGTCAGAGCAAACTAAAAAAATATATATATTCTTTTAGTGCTTTGTTAAACCGTGTGTGACGAAGGACACAGGCAAGAACTTAGACGCCTATTCACCTTTTAAGGGGGCCAAAAAGAAAAAAGGAAAAGAGGGAACCCTTCAATTATTTACCTATAACATTAAAAAAAAATGTTTATAAAACAACTGAACTTGAACAACCGTATTTCTCCGTCGTTTGTCTTCTTGGTTAATGGAAAGGGCTACTTGGATCCACAAATTGTCTTCTCGGTTAATTAATTATAATTATATAGAAGCATTTCAACTTTGAAGTCATAAATAAATTCAGTTAATTATATCTCTTAATGCGAGATGGATCCCTATCTCATCATCTTTTTTTTTTTTTTTCAGGTGAAGGATGAACTGGTACGAAATGCGCGTGAAAATTACAAAAGGAACAAACAAATAACGCATCAATTTTGATTTTCTGTAACGGCAAAACACAACAAATCTATTAATATTGTACCTCTCCCTCCATTGTATGCTCCAAAACAGGAATCTCTTGGCATCGCGGCGTTTTGATTGTTAGCAATAATTGTCGTAGGAAATTCATTCTGTGATAAGTCGTAATCTGTTTGTTTGTATCGCTAGTTGATTATCACCGTAAACCCACAGTCAATCGACTTGCCTCTTCCGTGTCCTTATGCGTCTAAATGCTTGCAAAACAAGCCTAGAGAATGATCCGATCCGCTTTAGTTTCAAAATTTGCCGGCCTGCGATGGGACTTCCATTGCTGACTTGCACAGCCATTCTAACAAATTTTTCTATCTAGCTACAAGCGGGATTTCCATATTAACTCGAGACGTTTCAGTCCTAGACTCCAACGCCTGCCAGCTTTACTTTCGTATATGAGCATTTTATAACCATTCTGTTGTTGAATAAGTTAGTTCCAATGACATCAGAACAAAGTGCATCGGCTGTTATTATAAATAAACGTGGCATTCCCCGAGAAGAGAGACGAATACGGCAGTTCGCTGCTAAAGACAAAGAGTGCCTCGCCTGCATATGAGAATACGTACTCTCAGGTGCACTTTATGCTCCCAGGCCTATCAGGATCCTACTGACCCATGGCTGATTCACTCTCAGTTAGAGTTGATTCCCCGCCACCTAAGTTTGGAGTATCTTTCGAACAAACTATGAGAGAAGCAAAGTACTCTGATGACGTCCAAAGAAGTACCCAAGAGGCCGAAGAACCCTCACCAAATAGTTTTCAAAAGGTAGCTCTAAACCAAAAACGATGCCTGCTGATTATGTACAAAAGTAGCAATATGTTTAATCCAAAGCTTGTGTTAATAGGGCCTAGCAGAGCTGGCGGGTACTTATGTTCTCATATTGTGGGATGTGGGGCTGGGCTGGTCAGTAAGGCGGAGCAGCCCAATATAGTACGAGTAGCAATTGCGGCGGGTCTTTCTTTGACGTGGCCATATATTCAGTTGGTCATATCTCCGGGGCCACTTCAATCCTGCAGTATCTATAGCCGCTGCTGTTGCTCGCAAACTCCATTCAACTTGTAAGCCTGTGTTGTAATACAAACTGATGCATATACAAATACATTCTCTTCTGCGATTCACACCATTTTCTGGTTCTCAGGTTCCTATCTATGTGATGAGCCAGCTAATGGGTGCTACACTGGCAAGTCTTACCCTCAAGGTGTTGTATGAGGGGCAGGCAGACATTAGATTGGTGGTGACTCAGTACTCGGGTTCAACGAGTCATCTTGAGGCTATTGCATGGGAGTTCATGGCCACTTTCATCCTGATGTTCACCATTTGTGGTGTGGCCACTGATCACAGAGGGGTGTGTTTCTTGCATTTTGGATGCTTCGTCCTTTGCTGTCATTAGTTATTTTTAAAACACTTGAAGTTGGAAAATTGATCCCCTTTTCTGGTTCATGCGCTGATTGAAACAGAGCAAAGACCTCGCTGGACTTGCAATAGGCACGGCAGTTCTTATCAACGTCATCGCTGTTGGGTAATAAATAAACTGCCTATCTTCTCTTCTTTCACGGTTTGATCATGTCAGTGGCTTGCTAATCCCAGAGCGAAAAGGGAAGAAAATAAAAGCGGTGGTGTTCTCTATTCAAGTGCTTCTATATATCTTTGACCAAAAAAAAAAAAAAGTGCTTCCTATATAACCGAGCTCTCTGTTCGCAGGCCTATTACTGGAGCTTCCATGAATCCTGCAAGGAGTTTGGGCCCAGCTATTGTCTCCGGCGTCTTTTAAAAATATTGGATCTATATCATTAGCCCTATCATGGGAGCCACCACCGCAAGTCTGGTTTACAGCCTCCTTAGAGTACCCAAATCAGATAAAAGCCTGAGGATCGCACCAAAATTAAGCCGCACATGAGGATGTTTTCTTTACTTAGTTGCTTTTGATTCACCAGGGATAAGCTCCCCCAGCAATGATCAAATTCTCAGAATCTGCTGTGACCTTACGTTATACAAATCAAAGCATGTCTCGCAACATCACTACTGTTGATGTTTCTTTTTGCCGTTCATTTCGACCGATGGCATCCGCTTCTCGTCTTTCCACGAAATAGAAGTTGTGGAGTCCACAATACAGCTGGTGAAATTTAAAAAAGGTTCTTTTTTCGTTAAAAAAATTTGTGCAAGTATCCAGACAATAAACATGTATTTTTCATCAAGTTTATTTTGCGCGGGTGTTGGTATAAAATATAAATGAAGCGTGATTAGTAACTAATAATAGCTGCATGCCTTAGTTTACTGAAGGATAAACATCCAATAACGGCTCAAGCTACACATATTTTACAAAAAACCAAATGGGGCTGAAGATGATCGGCCTACATGAATCAAATATTTCATATACATTTGAAGTCAGCCGTTAATCATGTCAAGACTGGTAAAAGGTGCAGGAAATGAACACAGTAGATCCCCGTCTAATAAGGCTTCCTCATCCCAGTTTCCCACATGAGCGCCACTGAATTCTCCAACTCTGCTTATATTTGATATAGATTACCTGATACCAAAAAATTAATTATAATAATGTATCATGTAACAACAAAAGCCAACCAAGAACAAAAAAAACAAAAATACACAAGGAAAAAAATATAACGAAAGAGAAAAAAAAAGGGTGAAGATGAGAGTTGTATAAACTTCACTGAGGCCTGACAAATGGATAGATGCAAGCATCCATGGACCTACAATCCTAGTAAAGTTGAAATGAAGTTGTTTAGTGGGCGCAGTGTTATATTAAATAGAACTTAGTAATTACCCAGTCTGAGGCAGCTGTCTCCAATTCATAAGTTGGTGAGATTGAGGATGTCTCTGCAAGTAAGATGAACTAGCTCCTCTACCATTTTCATCTCCAACAATTTGCTCTGAGTAACCAGAAGCTGGAGGGGACCATTCTGGAACTACACCTCCGTCCCTTTCTCTCCTACTACTACTTGAAGATTCTGCTGTGGAATCTTCATCTGCATTTCTCAGTTCCACTGCAGTATTCTGTACTCGGGTATTTCCTTGAACAGCCTGCAACATCCGTTGGTTCAATGTTTCTCTTGACCTTGCATTTTGACGTACATTTACATTGATTGGCACTTCAGCCCTGCTATCTCCTGTCGTGTTTCGAAGATCTGAAGAAGTTTCTTCCTCTTCCACTCTCAAAAGGGAAGAAGTGATGCTTGGGACCCTCTGATCCTCGTAGGGGCGAGCAACAGGAGGGGGATTGCGTCTAATAGGTTCATGAATTTCCTCCATTTGTATGTCTTGAGGAAAGTCAATAGGGGTTGTTTCAAACGAGTCTCCAAGTCCTTCTTCAGTTCCATTTTCAATGGCGGCTCTTGAAGCTGCTTCTTGTTGCCACATTTCTGTCAGTGCTTCTTCCAATCTGGCTTTTGCAGCATCTATTCCAACAATAGGAAGAGGATAATTTGACCCCAGTTCAATTCCAGCAGCTTGTAGCACAGGTTCTGGCGCGTTCCATGGGTGATGAATCCATTCGGTGGGTATTCTGGCAAGTTCTGGAAGCCAACGTCGTACATATTCTCCATTTGGATCAAATTTGTATCCCTGAAACTGTAAAAATCCAGTAACAGATTTGAGTCTTTCCACGGCTACTAACATTTTAACAGCTTATGCGAGTGCGGAGATCAAAATTTTAATACCAATGTTGACAATCATCATCATCTCAAAGTTCAGTCCAGTTGTAACGCACAGAACTAGACAAGAGTAAACCCCCCCCCCCCGGGAATAAACAACCATACTTACTGTTGATTAAGCTTATAATTATGGACCTGAAATCCATAGTTCATCTCAAGAATCGGTATTGCAGTAAGATTTAACCATCTAAATTTAGTTTAAGCAGTCTAGATTTAAAACTATTTAGTTAAGCTTTTAAAACTTAAAAAATTAAAACACAACTTTTTTCAAGTTTATATAAAAAGCAAAAATAACTTTACAGTATTTTAATAGGAAAAATTAAACTTTACAGTATTTTAATAGGAAAAATTAGAGGGCAAACCAAGGTACAAGAGCATTTTGATTATTTTATGCCAATAGGAGAGTAAAAGACTCTGTTTTCCAATGGTGAGGCGCTTAGCACATAAAACCAAAAAAGGGCCAACAGGGTCAAAACTAAAAAAGGCATCGCTGCACTTATTCCTTAGCCTACTTTGAAGAGCCCCAGATAACGGAAATTAGATCCGGGTCAATACAATACATCAAGTTATTAGAAATAAATGGCAGAGGTAATAACTATCAACAACATTGTATAACAGGATTATGCAACAGAACATATGGTATCCAGACTCGGAAATAAAAGACATGAACCTGCAATTAGCTAATGTATGTTGTACGCAAAAGCAAGTGCACCTGTGGGTTATCTATTTGGTCAAATGGACGGCCATCAGGGATAGTACCAGATATGTACTGCCAACCAAGAGCATCACTCTCAAGATCTGCATCTAACAGAGTGTCCCAAAAATATTTCATTCCCCATCTCCATGGAAGCTGCAGAACCTTCACAAAGAAACTGGAAACAACAACACGTACCCGATCATGCAGCCAACCAGTGGCCCACAACTCTCTCATCCCAGCATCTACTAAGGGGTACCCAGTTCTTCCTTGCCTCCATGCCTTGAAGTAGCTTTCATTTACAACCCATGGAAAGAACCTGAGATGGCCTAGAAGAGGCCTTTCATGACTATAGGGGTGGTTGAAACTGATGTACCTTGAATACTCTCTCAAACCAATAGACTTAAGAAACAAGTTGACACTTTCTTCACCAGCCTTGTTCCCTTCATTGGCCCACAAAACTTGCTTGATTCGTACCAGATGGAACACCTTTTTCACACTCACCTCCCCAAAGTGCAAATGAGGGGAAAGAAATGAGGTTGTGGCACTGTCAGCCTTCCTGCGATTTTTTGAGTACTCAATCAATGGGCCATTTATGAATGCGGTTAAAGCCTTGTCGGCATTGCTCCATCCAGGGGACCATGCTCGGGCAAGAAGTGCATTGCTCGCCTTCTCTGATTCATCTTCAAACACCAGTGTATCAGAAGAACACCTCGATACCTCACCTGAAAGAAATTGACAGTGGAGAAGAACAGCCAACTGAAATCAAATTTGATCATCCGATATCGAAGGCCAAGTGTGGTAGTGGCAAGTGTCAATTTCAACATTCACAAGTCAGAATTTGATAAATGCTCAAAAGAACATTGCTTGAATTTAGCAAGTTCCCAACAGTAGGCTTCACAAGACCAACCTTCCGTTTCTCAGTATTAGAACTTGAAAATGAACTACATCTCGTTGAAAAATATGCTTTTACCTTTGCACCACTTCGCCACCAGTTGTATAACAAGCAGTTTAAACACGACTCATGCGTGTACTCTCCAAATCAATTCATTTTTATTTCCAAAGACCAAAAATCCGTTGCCATACGACTTGACCACACTTTTTTTTTTTTTAAATTTCTATTAAAAGCCACTATTAGCTCAATACAATATCTTTTTTTTCTTCCAGTGATAACCTCCGGTATCCGGCACCTTCGGCAACCAAATAATACGGATCGCAGCTCACTATGGAGGGCACCTTGCTCCCACCGAGTTATATATTATTGCTGTTGCATACCCAGGGCTCGAACTTGAGACCTCTAGTTAAGCTAGAACAACTCCATTACCAGTTGATCTAAGCCTCGGTGGTAGCTCACTACAATATCCGCATCTTCTTTATATTATCAATATTTTATATTATTAATAAATTTCAAACCCTATAACCAAAAACAAAAAAAGTTATTTTGGTTTAATTAAGCATGGACTAACAATGGGCAATACCAGCGTACATTTTAATCAAAGAAAGTTTAGAAGAGAACTGAAGTAAAAGAAAGAAACGATGAACAAAGGCAGACCTGCAATAATTCTTTTAGGCGGGAGAAGAGGTGCCTCGGGGTCATAAGGCATGTTGAGGCATCTTTCCCAAAAAGCAGAAAAAGTTGTGAATGGCTGGCCATGTGCATCATTCACATCCCAAGGTTCATACAGTAAATCTGCATTGAAGGAACGTACGGCTATGCCTTGAGCAGTCAGCACCTCCTTCGCCCGGTGATCCCTGATGAGTGATAGAGGATCTGAAATGCAGAAAATTACAAGCAAACATTTAGACAGAACTATTTCTCCTAAATTGGGCGTGACTTAGAATTTGATCAATTCAAGCAACATATCACATGACGAAGCCAAGATACAACTTAACTTCTCCTTTGAAATGATCAAAAAGAAATCTGAAAAGAGAGATGATAAAGGGCTCATATGAAAGAAGTCATCAGAGACCACCATAATACAAAGTGATGATTAACCATAGAATGCTAAAATCTAGTAATACCTGATTAAAAACACAACTCGGACAAAGTTTTCCAAACAATAACGGCAAAAAAAAAAAAAAAAAAAAAAGATTCCAATTGATAGAATCAAGGACCTTGCAGTCCCATATGACGCTGCTGGCTATTCAGCAATAAACCTAAGAAAACATGGGTATTGCCAGATATCAACAGATAAAGCGAATGAAACAAAAGGGAATTTAAACGGCAACCAGGAGAGGAAGAAATATGAACATACCATATAAGTGGTTAAAAAAGAGTTGAGAGGCTCCAGTAGAGTTGATAACGTCCAGGAGAGAAGAAACACTATCAGTGGATCGCTTGGTGACAAGAGAAATGCCAAGATTCCTCAAAGAAGAATCAAGGTCAGCCAAACTGTGTTTGAGCCACCACCTGGAAACCCTTCCTGGCTGGTATTGACCTTCTTCTTCAGGCGCCCATATAAAAACCGCCACCACAGCTCCGGCTCTCATTCCCGCAGTCAGGGCCGAATTATCCTCCACCCTCAGATCTCTTCTGAACCACACTATGCTACAACCCCCACCAGACATGTCCAAAAACAACAGATTTATTACCTCACAACCTGAGTGAATCCCACCTTATTCACACACGCCTTCCTTCTTAGCTATGCGTACCGTATCACTACTTCCCCCTCTCCATACGAGTGACGAACCAACATATCAAGAAAGTATAGTTACTCTTATCTTTTCTTTTGTTTTA